AGTCTTCCTTCCCATCATTCAATGGGAGATACAAACACAAAGTTCCGACTCAAGACCCGATGTACGTACGAGGGAAAGATTATTGGGGTTATCCATATCGATTGTGGAAATAGCTGTTAGTCAGTTTATAAGTGTGAAGGAAAGTCTCACATTATGAGCTAATTTTTGGGAGTAAAAGAGGTCCAAGACCACGTAACAATATGGTGATGCAATGTTCAACTTTGTTCGAGTTGAGGCAACCTTAGAAATCGGAAGACGCATCTTCCTTTGATTGCTCTCTTCTCCACTCGCAAAAGGATGCCTGACGAAATTCCCATGTTGATTAAAATATCGCGCAACACACGAATCTCCTCGAACTTAACATGGATCATCTAAAAGTAACTTTAGCTTTTGGATCCGATTCAGCTCACACCTAACCAGAGAGCCAACCCGAATTGACTTCTCAAAAAAAAAAAAATCCAAATCGAGCCAACAATCCATCTCTTTCTTCTTTGATAATATTTCGATTTCTACCTTTTTTTTAGCGGGTCAGTTTCCACCCACCTCCACGACGGGTTCACCTCCCCAGTTTCTATCTTTTTTGTACAACACCCAATTTTTTTCCTATGGAGGAAAAATTGGGTATAATGTCGAAAATTAGAGGAAGGAAAAGGACCCAATATTTCAAAAAATCGTACCTCGTGGCTCCTGACATAAGAGAGAAGAATAAAAGCCGCCCGACTTTTTTGTTTTTGCCAATCTTTTTGGCACCGCCAATGAGGAACGTGATACATGTGGACAGCGTTAGGGGCACGCCAGACTGACGAAGTGCCTCCCTCTCAGGAATATCAATATTGGGTTTTTCCTATGAATAAGACCGAATTTGAATATATATATAAAGTTAGGCACAGGCACTTCGACTGACATGGACATGAGCATGCGTACGGATATTCTTAAGGTGGTGGGAATAAAGTCGAGATTAATAATGTGAGATATTTTCGGCTCTCGTTCACCATGCATATGGTTTGGATTGAGTTTTTTTAGTTTTTGCCTAATCAATTCCATTGAGATGCAAAACCCTTTGAGATGGATCGCTAAATTTCCCGCGGTGACTCCAGTTGATTGTAGTCGATTCGAGTTGGAAATATTTTTTCTTCCGGCGGTTGGATAACTTATGTTTCTATCCATCCATATTAGTTTACAGTTATTGAAATATTGTCACACGTTACTTTTTATATACGTATGATTGCCCTCCACCTAATAAGTTTAAGCTTTTGGGTTAAACTTTTCAATATGGTATTGGAGCCGGCAATTTTCCTTTTGCGTATGTGTGTTCACCCCCCTATCAGTCAAATTTCACGTATAGGCCTTAATCCGACTTGCACGTGAGAGAAATGTTGAAATATTGTCACATACCGCTTGACAACAAGTCTTGTATGCTCTTGATATATATGCAGTTTCCTTTTACCTAATAACTTTAAAATTTTGGGTTAGATTTTTTAACGACGTTTCTTGTTTTGTCCTCACTAGAGGAGATAAGGTCAACACACGTTAATATGGAACAAATTGTCAGCTCAAATATTTTAGCTTGGGATAATTGCTCAAAAAGTTCGAAACCTATTATACGGCGGTCAATTTAGTCCTAAACTTTTTGACTATTTACCAATTTAGTTCTAAATCTTTCAATTGTATCAATTTAATCATAAACCTTTTGAAGATTTACTAATTTAGTCATAAACCTATTATTTAGATAATTGACCGGAACGACTACATTGCTAAATCATTAAAATATTTAGGACTAAATTGGTACAATTAAAATATTTAGGACTAAATTGACAAATCGTCAAAAAGTTTAGGACTAAATTGGCACGATTGAAAGATTTATGACTTTTTGGGCAATTTTCCCTTTTAGCTTTGAAGATCTAGATCAAGTGATCCATAAAATTGGTTTTACAATTAGGAGAAGGATACATAATTGCATTTTTTGAGAAGTTTAAAAAAAAGCCCCCCAAAAAAAATCCTAAATTCAAGTTTCTCGCTCTCTCTCTCTCTCAATTAAGAGAGAGGATGTCGTGGTGATTGCGACGCCAATGTGCAGCAACAATTTTATTCACTTTTTACGTTCACATCGACACAACATGTCAATTGTGATGATCAAAATTTGTTTGAGGAAGAAGAGAAATAATGGTTAGCTTTGGCAATCGAGCTTTTACATCCACATCGAAGAGGAGTGATTCACCAAGAAAGGAATTTCAAGCAAAGCAAAAGGAAAGGAATTAAATGAGTTTGGCAACTTTTCCTACCATGCACTTGTGGATCGTGGTCATGGCTGATTGCATGAACCGTAAATCGTGATTGCTATATCTGCCTATCCAGCGGTAGCTAGGTGAAACTCACGTTGTGTCAATCTTTACTACCCGAGATTCCCTAATTCCTTCTCTATTTTCGTCTTTCCGAGAGGGAGGGAATACGGGAGGTGACACTCTCGAGGGTTCTTCCCCCTATTTTTTCTTCCTTGAGCCTTTTAAGGACTTGCTCAGGTTCAAAAAAATGGTTAGCTTTGGCAATCGAGCTTTTACATCCACATCGAAGAGCGATACACCAAGAAAGGAATTTCAAGCAAAGCAAAAGGCTTGTGGATCGTGGCCGTGAATCGTGGATCATGGTCGTGGCTGACTGCATGGATCGTGGATCGTGGCTGTGGCCGAGTGCACGAGCCGTGTGGATCGCGGGATATATTTACCAATATTCACTGAACAAGTAAATCGAATTAGTGTCGATATTTTATAGATTTCGAATTGGATGTTCATGGAGTAAACAGGCCCCTCTGGGCAGGGCACGGAGCGTGGTAATAGGAAGAAATCTTGGCTGGACCCCATCTTGCACCCCGAGCCAAAGGGCAAATCTATCCACGATCTCTGTGCATGCCAGAGAATACGACATTCTAACCACATAGGCGCGCGCGGACAAGAGGCGGTGGTTCAAAAGTCCCAGGCGAGTGTTGTCCTTTCCCGATCGACTTCCATCGCTTCAAATCATGTGATCCCGCGTTATTCGAACCAGAGTGATAAACGACGTCCGACATACCCAGGAATGGTTCTAGTCTTGTCGACGCTAGAGATAATGTCCGGAGCGTGGGAGTCGGCAGTCGCATCGACATGGATTTGTTGGAACGGCGAGGGGGAGCGGAAATGGCCCAGCGTCGAGGATAATTGGCCTGTAAAGTGCGGTCCGTCACAAGAGAGTCCGGCCCTAACCGACCGAGATTGTTAATGACACGGCTAAGTGTTGGAGCAAAGAAATCGATAAAGAGAGGAGAATAGATGAAACGGGCAGGGTGTAATCTTCAAAGGTCGTGGACGTGATATAACCGTTAAAGAAGTGGAGGCAAGCAACCATTAGTTAGTGGGACTAACATAACTGTCCGTTAGTGGAGTGGACCTTGGATGCAATTGTTAAAGGTGGTAACGGTCGAAAAAGTGGAGTCAATGCAACTATGATAAAAGTCGATGATTTTGTGGATAACCGTTTGTAGTTAAGTAATGCTGAATCATAAGAGCCATATATAGAATGTGTAATTTTCTTAGTAACCGCTGTTAACTGTCGATTGTAAGCTATACACAAAACTTACAATTAATCAAAGAGCGCAAGTTCTTCATCTTTATTTCGAGTTTACCTTTACATTCTAGTACCCTTTATATGGCTAGCAACGATTTTTTTTTTTCGACATAACTTTTCGAGAGAAATCCTATGACAAACATGAAATTACAGAAAAAAAAATAGGAGAAATTAATCTATTGGACCACGTCTCATGTTATCTGTCATGTTGCAACAAGTTTGAGATGGCAAAACTTCGGGAGCGCATATCTTATCAGTCATGCATCTTTTTTCGATTCCACATTACTTTCGAAAGGAATCTAATGAAAATCCCAGTTGCAATAAGTTTAAATTTCTCATCAATTACATTTCCTATCCAAGAATCAAAAGGACCTTTCGCACCCTTTGTCAATTTGCTTATCAATCCACATTTTGAAAGATGTTTCATTGACTTTTTCGGTGAAAGAAGTCTCAAATAGTGACACTAAGTTTGACCGACCTAACACCAAAAGGTGAATTTATTCCACAAGAGGTTAGAGCCTTGAAGCAAGTACTCAATACGAGGGAGTTCCATGCCTTTATATCCAGTGGGTAGTGGGTCTCACATGGGCTACTCATATACGCCATTAGATCCAATAGTCCAAATACACATTAATATAATAACACACTCACCAAATAATTTTTCAGAAATGTGGTACCAACCATGGCCAAATCTTAGATTGAAGAAGTAAACTGGGTGTGATTCCCACTCGACTTCAATATATATGAGAAAAGAACAATGTTAGATATGTTAAAATCAATGATTATTACGATGTCACGTACTTGCATGGACTATGGACTAATAGGATTCAGTTCTTTAAATGGATGTGTACATTTTTGTCACTTGCCATAGCATGATATAATAATTTTGTAAACTAGCCTTACTGAGCCGACCACAAAAAAATTAGCCTCAGTATACCTAATATAATTCTTGGTAAAAGATAGGATAAACATTTGAGCCGATCCCAAAAAATAGAATATGTATCTTTTTATTAGAAATATCACGAAACTATTATTTTCATTCATTAAATGCTTAAATATTAAATTATACTTTCATTTAGCAATTTAACTTTTCGCTTGGGAGTTTCTAACACGTTTGATTGATGACAAGGAAGCGCTCACTTAGGAAACCAAATAAAAGAGGTATTCATTTTCTGACGAAGTCATATGGAAATACCATAAAAGTTGCTTTCAAGTCTGTTGGCCACGGTGGATCGGGATCCGGAGTACATAGAATGGTAGAAGAAAGAAAAAGAAACCAACCAATGATAAATAGTGGATCCACACTTCGCGATTTTGCTAACGAATTGACATATACTCAAACGAGCATCTCACTGATGATGGCAACAGCTTTCGAGAGGGGAGAGGGACAAGGGACAACTAGCTTGAACTGAAAGTAACGTACTCCGTGTGTAACAAATTGTCGTCATCATTACAAAACCCCCAGACTTTGGGTGGGTAAATGGTTGGTTAAGTTGGTCCCTGTACCTCAACCAACCAACCAACCATAGGTCAACAACATGCAAAATCACAGTAACAGCAAACAACCAAATACGTCTTACCATGATAGCTATATGTGATGCATAGTAAAATCCAATTGAAAAGTTTTGTCTTAATCTCTTCAGGCTAAATCTCATCTATATATATCCACCTGGATATATCAACCGAATTTAGTTTGATTTACCTCTTTTTACCATCTTTTATTATCCTCTCGAGTTGTTATTTGTGGGTTTGATCAATTTCTTTCGGGGAGTTTTTATGTACATAACCAAATCAATGGAGAAATTAATGAATGCAAATGACATCTGGGATCAACGTGAAGCCAGCATCATCTCCTGCTCAGTGAGGGAGTGACGGAAGTGGCACCTGTGGCCGTAGGGACACATGTCGCCGGCTAGGACCATCCTGCAGACCTCAGTCTTGTAACGTGGGTGCCTGATCACCGGACGCAGCTCGGAAATGCCATGCGCGAACTGGCAGTGGTCGCCGTACGGGCACGCGCCAGTCTCCTGCCACTTGTTGCACAGCTCCGTCTTGAACATCCCCTGGCTGAACACTTCGAACTCCAATGCCTCCTGCTCTTTCTTCCCACCTGGCACATACACGCGCTGTTGCACCTGCACACACGAACTCTCCTTCCTGAGATAATGCCATCATCAATGACAATTTCAACCAAGATCGTACGTAAACGAGAGTGGGAAAATCAGAGTTCAAATGGACGAGAAATCTACGAAGGCCAAAAAGAACGTAAAAAATAAAAAAATGTATATGGAGGACGCGAAGATGCTCCGGCTTCAACCATATTATACGATGAAAGCGACAATCAAACCACTGCACATGAGAAGAAGAGATCCCGTACGTTGCAATTCGTTACAGAAAAAAGAATTGACGAAATTCGATCAGCGAAAAGGGAGAAGAAAACCGCGATTATTCTGATACAAACAACAGCGAAATCATTATTAAATTTGAATGCAATCACCAAAAAGCAAATGAATAGGAGACGCGAGCTTAATCGACAGAGACTGAAATTGACCGATATCAACTCGTTCAGCAAAATGATCCGAGAATATAATTCAGAGACGCACCACAGCGTGATCATGATACAAAAAATATTCATATAGCGCAGCAAATGAAATATGAGACGCCACTTCAATCAATAGAGATTGAGATCGACCGATCAAACAAGGAAGCGCAATTTCACAGATCGATGGACAAATTGCGAAGAGTATATGGAATCCAGAGAACAAACTGACCTTTGGAGGCTCCTGTGTTCTTGGCATGCGGAGTTGACTCACCGGTCGACTCGAGCGGCTGTTGCTAGCAGCAGGCTGGTTCAGTTTAAGGTAGCCGCTGGACCGAACCGATATACTCTTCGGTAGCCAAACTCTCTCAGGATTACTCGGCTCATATCCGCTCTGATCCATGACACTCGTCGGACTGTAGCTGCAAACGTCTTCGCCGGAGAAATCTGATCCCGTAGCATTAGCATCAGAGAGACCGAGACGGCGGAAGCAGCTTTCCAGAGTGCCCTGCGAGGGCAGGTTAAGGAGCTTTACGAGCTCGGAGTTTGACAAGCGAAGCCGCGCATTCTCGCGGCGCAGCGAGTCGATCTCTTCCGTGAGGTCGTTGAGGTGAGCGCGGCAGAGATCGTAGTGATCGCGCAGCTGCTGGTACTCCAGAACGAGGCGAGCTTGGTTGAGGCGGTGCTCTATGGCGACGGTGCTCCTGGCGGTTGCGTTCTGGTTGTTGTCGGAGGAGGCGGATGAGCACAGAGACGGCGAAATGAGCGCGGAGCTCGAGCGAGGCGATTTTGGCGGGAAAATGGAGTGGTACAGCGCGCTGAAATTGGCCGCGAACTGTTGGTTCAGCGGAGAGCTCGAGGATTGAGCGGGAGGAGGCGAGTTGGGCGCATGCGGCGGCGGCGGCGGCTGCTGCTGCTGCTGCTCCGGCGAAGTCGAGGAGGTGGTGGTGACGGTTGGATCCGACTGAGGCGAGGCGTCCTTTTCCATGTGCCTCGAACTTGCTGCCAACAGAGAGCAAAAACTACATTCAGTTACGGGAGAGGAAGTTCGTCCGCCGAACGATCGCGTCGAAACAAACCGACACTCGAACGGTCTCCGCCTAGCTACACTCGTCTCCTCTCCGCCACCTTCCTCATTCAAAATCCTACCGAATCGCGAACAATCGCCTTCAAAGCAAAAAAAGCAAGCCCGACGGAAGCACGGGAACCGCCACAAAAGAGATCGAACGTGCACCTCTCTCACACCGAATCATCATCGCTCCGGCCTCGAAGAACGATTCGAAATCTCAGCACGATTTCGACGACGGAAGCTAAGCTACATCAAACGGACGCGCAGATCAATCGACGAAGACGACCGAACTCAATCTAACGCAGGCATCCAAAAACGCGAGAATGCAGGACGCATAGATCAGGCCGAGAGTAGTAATCCACAAGCTACACAATCCGCGAGAACCGAAGCGGAAGATTGCGTCAACAATGGAGAGCGAGCCTCACCTGGTTCAGCGCGGGGAAGAGAGAGAGAGGGGGAAAGAGAGCAACAGAAATGGAAGTCGGAGGAGCTGCTTTGTAAGGTATAGGCAGCGCGCGGGGAGAGAAGGAAGGAAGACGAAAGCGATCGGGTGCTCTCCGGCGCAGGGGGAGCGCCCGCGCTCGCGAGCTCAGGATGTTCACGCGGGGGGCTCAGCTGACTCCACGTGGAGGGACGCCACTGGCCAGCAAGGCAGCCAAGGAGGGGGGTGGACACGTCGGCACCGGGCAAAAGATTTTCCCGCCAAAGGGACAGAGAGCGAGAGCGCCCGGAATCCCCAAAGACCGTTTTAGAGAGAGAAGGCAAAGCTGCTTGAGGCTCAAGCCAGCTGGGGCTAGAGAGAGAGAGAGATAGAGAGTCGGTTCGATTTATATACGGGGATGGACCGGCGGCATGTGAAAGGGGACGCATGAGGTTGGTTAATAGGTGGTTGTTGGTCAGACGAACATTTGGCGTGGAACGGAAGTGATGGGAACGTGCGGTGCGAGGTTGGGGGTTTGTTGCGTCGTCTTCTTATGATGGAGGGAGCGATTTCCAATCGATGGGAGGAGGAAGAAGGGGGGGAGGGGGGAGGTTGATGCATTGATTATTGTTTATGTGTGCATCGCAACCATCGAATTCGAGTTGCTTCCTTGTTACAACTTTAACTAACTGCCCATGGCCCGCCCCCGCCCCCGCCCCCGCCCCCCTTCTTCTTTTTTTTAGCTATGTTTTGCTTTGCTTGCTTACTAGCTATCGCTTCCATCAAAAAGCCTTGATGGCGTGATGGGGTGCTTCCTTCCCTTCGGCCAACCGCTGATCATGAATTTTGCCTTAAATAAAATGAGCCATGATTGTTATGATTTGGATGGTAGCGATGCGAGGTAATTGTCCGTTCAAGAAAGGAGATGGTCTTTGGATGAGATTTCAACGACCGGAGAAGGCTTCCCAATCACCAACCTTTAACATATGCGACGACGATCGCGCGGGGTTATGGGGTTGCTACTTTCAACTAAATAGTAAATACTGTATGTGGGGAGTATGCCTCGATGTGGCTTTTGCTATACATGTCGACATAATTGGAGGAGTCTTGCCTAGAAAAGTACAAAAAAAGTTCTAAATCCATTGCATTGGTAGCAAGTCGATCTTAAATATTTCAATTGGACCGATTTAGTCTTAAATCTTTTCACATTGTTACCAATTCTATTCATTCAGATAATTTATGCCGGAAATTACTAACATGGACGCCGGCCCTCCTAATGTGGATGGCCGGCATTGACGTGGATATAATTAATAATCTTTTTATAATTTAAAAAAATTTCCCTTTTTTCCTTTTTTTCCTTCTATTTTCTTCTTTGGCCTCTAGCCAGTACGTGGCTACAGACGAGGACTGGCGAGGGCGTTCCTTGTCCAGGCTGCAACGGCCGAGCCCTCGCCAGAATCGGCAAGGGTGGCCCTTGCCCATGCCGCGAGGGTGCAGCCCTTGCCTATGGTCGGCCATGGCCGCGTACGGGCCAAAGGAGAAAGAGAAGAAAAAAAAAAGAAAGGAAAAAAAAATAAATAAAGAGAATTGTTTTAAATTTTTCTAAAAAATTCAAAAAATTATTAAAATATTATAAAAATGTCAACGTCAACGTCAGTTGTGCCACGTAGGATGGTTGGAGTCCATGTCAGTGATTTCCGACTTAAATTGGCCGGATGGATTGAATTAGTACCAATGTGAAATGGTTTATGACTAAATTGTTTAAATTGAAAGCTTTATGACCGAATTGGTATCAATGCAATAAGTTTATAACTTTTTTGGTACTTTTCCCAACTCTTGCCACTAGTAGTGGTCACGAGCGTGGTTCGCTCGTGTCTAGACCCGGTCGTGAGCCCCGCGTCGCTCTGTCTCCTATCCATTAGACCTGTTAAACGGGTGGGTCGGGTCGGGTAAAAAAATTAAATATTTTGTTATTTTTTAAATCGAATTTTTAATTTTTTTTATTTTTATTTTATTTTTGGCCGATCGCCGGCCACACCTCTACTATCCATATGTCCTCCGAGAGTAAATGGGGGCGGGGCTTGGGAAAGGGCCTCGCATCGAAAAGCTTTGTCCGATGCGATTACCAATTGGGCCTAACTCAGGCCCAGGTGGAATTGAAATTTGGATGCCTTCTTCTGATGAATGGACGGGGTTTGATGATAACCAACTCAAGCCCGACCAGAGGTCGGGTTTGGTGAGGTCCTGCCAGCTGTTGCACTTTGTACCCGTACGGTCAATTGATTTGCCAGCATATCCTCGATTCGCTTGTGAATGATAGAACTCGAGTTGTTATCATGGTTGAAATCTATATTCCATCCACTTACATGATATAAGTTGTCGATCCTCTCGAAGACTACATCGCGATGGCGGTACCAAATACCCGGGAGAATTTGTCAGTACTGCATTAAGTGGTGGAGTAGCGCAACGTGAAAGTTAAAACGCGGTTACGGAACCTCGGAGGAAATCGTAATGATAAACTGGGATCTCATCAGAAATATATTTTCATGTAAGAATAAATTGAATCATGCTAGCGGGCGTATTAAGATTGATTGGAAATACGGGTTAATAAAGTGATGCGGATAGGTGCTTATTGAGCGGCAAGCATGCCCAACTTATTTATCTTCACTTAATATACATCACTACTGTTTCGTGATTAGACTTATGTTATATACCGTCTTTGTACACCTAGCATTATGGTCAAGAAACGTGATGGGAATTGGGTGGGATGGAGACGTTTAGTTTCAGGTTTGAGGTGCCATACTTTGCAAAAAGGCTGAGCAAATGCTTGAGAGAGAGAAAGAGAAAGAGAGTGGGAAAGTTAGAGACGGACAAAATAGTCCCTGATGGAACGTATATGGTTTCAAACTTCAGTGGTTAATGTGGTCAATTCACAACTAGACATGTCAAATTTCAAATTGGATGAATATGTGAATGATGCCCGCAAGCAATAAGAAGCTCGGGACGAAATGGGTCAAGTCGGGAATGAAAGATTATTGCCTCAAATGCATCACTATTGGAGTAGTGCTAAATTCTGTTAGACATGGGTATCAATGCCCATGTCAAATTGACTCATTTTAAACTCTTTGTTTTGTTCAGTATCAGCTACTTGTAGAGTAAACTTTTCGATGGTCCCACACAAAAAAAAAAAATGCCAAACACAAATAAAGACAAGACATGCGAAGCTGGTAGTAAAGAGCATTGCCGCCCATACATAATTTTATTGGCCAGAGCATTTTCTGTCTGCCAATCTAGAGCAAACTTTGCATGATTGATTTCTTTTTGGAGTTTCTGCTGGATGTACTCCGGTTGGGTTTCGAATCTTTGGGCGATGCTCATGTTCAATTGAGCTTGTAAATTCGTCCAAGGCAAGGAAACCTGAAGGCTGGGGCATGCGAAAACTAGGCAAAGCAAGTGGGGAATGTTGCGGAAGCTAAGCGATAAAATTGACAGAACAAGAAATGGAGACGCGGGTTAGTTGCACAAGGTATGGCCACCCTTTTATCGCCGATGCCGAGGGTATTTCGGACTTTTACAAACTCATAATAGACGGAGGTGCACTAGTCACGTGCATCTTTATAAAGATGCTCCTACGCCGACAAAGCATACCAACGCATCTTGGCCAGAGCCGGCGCATTGTCGATGTGCGCAATAATTTACGATGATAACAGGTTCATAGGTCTGCAAAGTCATTCTCCGAAAGGTCACTTTCTGACGAGGCGATGCCTTCTGGCGTCGCGCTCCGGAGAACGCATTCTTCGTTACGTAGCCGGTAGCTTGACTTCTGCGCCATCCGTCAATAAGGGTAAAGTTCCACCAGCAAACGTTGCGAATCTGACCGGCCAATTCTACCATTTCGTGTGGTTTTGCCTTTGGACTAATCGAATGAGTTTTTGTTCTCCTAAAAACGTGAGGCTCTGGTTATTAGGGTAATGACAGATGAACTGAATTCGGTACACAAATGTTGACTTTGGACTCAAATTTGGTAGATGTACAGGTGCAAAATCTTAATAGCAACGCTTGAACAAGAACAAAAGAGGAGCACATGATCTCCTTGCAGACAGAAAGAGAGAGGGAGAGAGATGCGAGAGCTCAGCACATCCTCTCCATGGCCTTGGCATTAGAAAGCTCGCCAGAAGCTTGCAGGGCCTTGTACATCTCGTAGACGAGCCTCGCCTCCACCTCCTCGCTCGAGTACACGATCCGTGGCCGCCGGGGCTTCGCAGCTTGCTTCCCGCCGAAGAAGCTGTCCGTGTTCAGGGACCCGACCTTGCCGGCCAACCGGACCATCATGTTGACGTAAATGTCCCTCAGCCGCACGAATATCTTGAAGGGAGAGTAGTAGATGGTCCTCAACCGCAGCTTCCGGGCGATCTTGATCTTCCAAGACCTCCGTGGGCCGCCGGTGTTGCCGCCGCCGAGCCTCCCGACCTGCAGGCGCTGGCCGCGGCCGCCGTCGAGCCGCCTGTATTTCCTCCTCCTCCAGTATCTCTTCAAGCTTCCGTCGAATGGCTTTGCCAAAAGATCCATGAGAGAGCGAAAGAGAGAGAGCTGATAATTCAAGGGTTTAGTCGTGGCTCGCAGTAACGTGGTGAACGTATATAAATGGAGAGGAAGTTTCGTTGTCCAGGAGCAACACATAATGGCTGATCCAGTCAACAAAGCCGGTTTGACTTATGGTCATCGTATTTCTTTATTTTCATTTAATTTTATTTTTAAGACAAGAGAGTCCATTTTCCAAGTTAGTAAATTTCAAAATTTATGAAGATCAAAACCACATCCCTCTTGTGGACGAGGGAAAAGACGCAAAACCAAACCATGAATAAACTACCTAAATGAAATCGAGAGATCGAACTTATATTAGATCCAAATAGCTCAAACGGGACGTATCAATTTCTCGATCAGTAAATCAATTCACGTTGCGGGTACGATGCTACCCATAATTTAAAAAGAGCACGGGCATTTTGTGACGCGCTTGATATGAAAACGACACCTGCGACTTTCCATCCTATTGTCCTTTCCTTCGTATTTATCCCCACCGAAAATGTAATTTCAGAGAGATGGGGAATCAACGTGTGTGGATCAGGGTCGGGCTAGAAAACAAGCGAGATAGGTGGGGGTTGAAACTTAATGCAAAAACTTTACAGATGGAGACAGGACGAGGAAAAAGTCGAAGAAAGACCAACCAAACCAAACCACACACCGCAACCGGACAACATTGTTATTGTCCGGCTCGTGTTCGTTGGCCGGATCATAAGTCTAGATAATTGACCCACAACTATCAACTGCATCGGGTCCAGGTTTTGACCATACAGAAGAGCTTTTAATTCGGAAAAAAAAAGGATTGCAATTCGCACATGAACATTCGATTTTGGAACGGATTTCTTCTCCGGCTAAAAGTATAACGCCGTGTGATTTGACCGTGACATCAAGCCAATAACCCCCGACGAGCGGTATAACAATCCGCAGGATGAAAAAAAAGAGCGGGGGTCGAGAGATTTTATTAGGACGGTTCAGTCGCGTTCGTAATGATAAAATAAGACTTTAAGGGTGCGTGAGTTTTATGAAAAAATGAATGATTTGAAAAATATTTTCATTAAAACGATCGCTTGTCTTAGCACCTCTTTATTGGTATCAAAGCCAGCGTTCTATTCAGCCTACTTGTTTGTGTTTAGATGAAATACTAGGCAGAAAGGTAGAAGCAAAGATTTAGGGATAATGAATGATTGGAAAATATTTTCATCGTCCATGAAAATATTAAGACATAAATTATTGTGGATAATGAAAATATCTTTCGTTGACTAATTATTTCAAGCAATGTAAACAATTATTTTTAAGAAAAATGATTTATAAAACATTCATTTATCGCGAAATAATCGGAGCCTCAAGTCTAATTTTAATACGAAATTATGCGACAATCTTAATTAGACTGGAGTACTAAAAAATGTTAGGCCAGTAAGAGCTTGCGCTGGACAAATCAAAACCTAACTCTTAGTGGGAAACCTTGATTTAGTCAGGGGTTTATTGTCAACTTATAGATTCGCTAATCTCAACTTATGCCACTTGGAATGCACCTATTTGCAATGGATGTTAGGTGGTCGATGGAAGGTATTGAATTAATGCATTCTTGAGCTTATTTTGAGAGTCGCGGGGTGACATATTAATAAGGGTTAATATCATGAAAAATCCAAAATTAGTACACTTATGACAATTTTACCCCAAACTAATTTTTTGACCACGAAAACCCCTAAACTGATACACATGTGATAAATTTATCTCAAACTAATTTTTTGACCACAAAAAACCCCCGAACTGGTACATTTGTGACAAATTTACCATTTGTTAGTTTCCATTAAATTGAATTAATACCACAAAAAATCATAAACTGGTACACCTGTGACAAACGGAGGGTAGAACATAAAATTGGTACATCCATTAATTGCTGCGTGTCATTTAACAAAGTAATTGGACGGTAAAATTTAACGGAAATAAACTGAGGGAAAATTTGTCACAAGTGTACCAGTTTGAGATTTTTGTTGATCAAAAAATAAGTTTGGTGTAAAATTATCACAAGCGTATCAATTTGGGATTTTTCGCGATATTAACCCTATTAATAATGACCATTGATGAAAGCATACAGTACAGAATTTACGAACATGGAGTGCTAGCTAGATCAATGACACGTTTGTTTCGCGAAAAATAAAATGATTTGGAAGATATATTCCAAATAAACAATTTCTTGCATATTACTTGAAGTAATCTGGTAATGAAAAATGTTTTCATTATCGATCACATTTTATACATGGATATTTTCATAAAAGACGCGAATACTTTTCAGTTCATTTTTTACACACGACACGGGGACCAAATTTTTTCAATATGCCAAGAAGGCCTATAAAGCTATTGACTTTCTCGGGGGCAGGCTTGCTGATAGAGGGGCCACTTTAGCATTTACAAAGCGCTCGATTAGTGCTTGTCGTTAGGGTGGTTTTTGCCTATTTTCGCTATTTAGCATAGGCTTTACTTTTTTTTTTCGTGTGAGATTGAGATAAGGCCCTCCTCATGAATCATGACGCTAGGGCACGGTTGGAAAAAAAAAATTCGGAACTCGAATAGGGGCATTTTATATACTCTTCCGATCAAATTCGCCTTTCGTTCAAACGTAATGTCTGTGGTTCCGATAGATAAAAAGAAATCTTAGTTTGCAGATAAGCTGAAAGTGCTCGCGAAGAGAATTATTGTCTCAAAATTGGTTTAAACTCGCGGCAACTGAAGAAGCGGCCGGGGGAAAAAAAATTAGCAGATCTTATCTACTTGGATAACCATTGATGAAGTTACTTCGCTTATGGATCAAAGATGATCAGTTTAATTAAATAAACGGTAGAACCGTATATGTAGCGGCCTTACTCTATATCTATAAATTATGAGAGAAAAACATAATGATTAGTTTCAATATAAAAAAAAAGGAGATTGACTTAATATAAAAAAAATGAAACAGCAAAATTGCAAAACACTTGTAAGGCAGAAAAGATAGCACGTATAAACTAGAAGAAACATTGTATTTTTCCGTTCATCAATAATCTCGGATCAAGTTAGATCAGATTTGAATACGAAACAACTTATGATCAAAGTATCATGGGCACGTTCCATTCTTGCTTTAGTCATTCATATTAAGTATTTCGAACGCCGTGAAAAGACCATTCGACTTATTTGTACAGAAATTTGATCAGATTTGCTAATCCTTATTTCAAGAAAATTATAATTTATAACATGAATTCATTGATTAATATAAAACTCGAAAAGGTAATCAATTGGGCGCAAATAAAGGTAATCAAAGGCCAACCCACATCGCATTAAGGCCCGTGAAGAGTAAGCATCGATCGCACGCAACCCCCAGTTGGTGGTATGGAAAAAATCCATGATATGATGAACGGTCAAGATATCGTAGTATTTACAACTGCAATAATCGAACCATAGATTCTCTCCTTTTGTTTAATAAATCATAATTTTCTTGCTTCCTATATGCATGCTGTTCTCAAAATAATTCTATATGATATCAGGTAAATTCCGTGCATGGATACTAGATAATGAAGTTCCTCGTGAGATGATTTAGGGGTGTACAAAATAACCGGAAACCGCCCGGACCTCTCGGAACCGAACCAGAACCGGTGGTTCCTAAGGGAATCAGTCCGGTTCCTGGTTCCAGGTGTGGAACCGTCCACTGGACCGAACCGGTAATATAATAATAATATATAATATAATATAATATAATATAATATATTTATTTAATTTTTAATTAAAAAAAGAAAAAAAATCATAAATCCCTAAACTAAACCTAACTCGTTTGGCGCTTATAGCCTCGTACCGAACCAAGAAACACCTTCTTTCGCTTTCGCCTCACGCTTACTCTCACTCTCTCACTCTTGTCGGTCGTTGCTCACCTCACTGTCTCCGTTTCCGTCCTTGGCTGGTGGGACCGGTTCCATGGACCTACTCGGGAATTGGACTGGACCGGCGGTTTGGTTCCCGGGTGGATCTATGTAACCAACGATCGGTTCCCGGTTCCAATTTTCCGGAACCAGTCCTTAGTGGGCGGTTCCCGGTTCTAGGATGGGAACTGTCCACCCGGATCATACTCACCCCTAAGATGATTTCACCGAGAGAGATAAAAAACGAATCGGTTTTAGTTAAGGGGAAACTTTCATTGTGTTTTAGCCTAAGAGAGAAGAAAGATAGCTCTTCCTGCACTTTTTTTTTTTTTTGTTCTCTATGGGGTTTTTGTTTCTTTATTAACTCAATATTCTCATGAAAATTTGTTCGTTCCCATCTTCAGTTGGGGTTTCCTTGGATGGCTTTATTGTTATGTCTCACTGTATCAGGAGTGTGATTATAACCCTCTGAACAACTTTCTTTAAGTGCATGCATATTCAACAAAACAGCACGTTCCCAGTTAACATCAAACGTGAGAAAACAGGTTCTTGAAGACATGTAAGAGGCCTATTAACTTCATCAGAGTAACTAAATCTACTTCATGTCAGAAAAACTGGATCCACTAAACATCAGAAACACACGAAGCTCAATCATAATTATACTAATTTTATTAAGAATTTTCTGTACAAGCACTGCAAAATCACCCGTTAAGCTCGGTGAAAAGAAAACTGCCAGCCCTCTAAGGGGGTTTTTGTAGCAGTGGATTGCTTAGGAATAGGTTGGGTCATTGAAGAATTGAGCCTGATCATGAAAAACATTCTGGTGACAAAAATTGCTGCAGGGGGTCACACATCATGCTCTGATCTGAACTTCATTGACAATGAAGTCAATGCTAAGGGATACTCATGGATTGATCCAACTGTTGACACATGAACTCGAAAGGCAGTCCAGCTCCGACCACCCCATCTTGCATGAAGCCTGCATTGCTTGCATGGAGGTCCACTCCGATGCTGGGTACGATCTCGTCACTTGGTGCCGCCGTCTCGACCGTTCTCTTCTCCTTCATCGTGGCAAGCCTCGTCTTTGCCTGTTCGAGTCTATCGCCCACAGCGCTCAGAAGCGATCTCAATTGAGGGCCTGAAAGATCTTTTAGGAACTCGTCTGAGACCGGATACTTGGCCTCCCAGTTGACCTTGCGGGCCTCGGCGAGCTCGGCGTCAATCTTCTCCTTCCGGCTTGCAAAAAACTCGCGCAGTCCGGTGGCGCGCTTGGCACGGCGATCCGCGGCCTCACTTCGATAGCGGCAGACGATGCGCTCTACCTCCTTACTGTCTGATGGCCAAATCTCCGGCTGGACTAGGCCGTCACCGGACATCCTCATTGGGTAGATGATCACACACGTGTCGACGCCGCAGAGGGTTTTGAATGTCTCAGCCTTCTTCATCAATCCCTTCTTTCTTTTCTCGAACGTGATTCTGCGAGATCTTGAATTTGATATGAGTTCCAGTTTCACTTTAGCGCGACCCATGTTGATTCAAATACTTAGAATTTCTTCGTCGAATGTTTGTATCCGACTAAGGCGAGACCTCCTTTTCCTTGTCTGCCACAGAGAGAGAAAACTACATTCAGTTACAGGAGAGGAAGTCTGTCCATCGAATGATCTTGTTCAAATAAACGAAAGAAAAATCGACATTCAACAGTCTCCGCCTCGCTACACTCCTCTTCCTCTGTCATCTTTTTCATCAAAATCTACCGAATCTTGAATGATCGCCATCAAAGTAAAGCAAACCCAACGGAAGCATAGAAAAGCGAAAGAGATCGAACATACACCTCTCACTGAATCATCGCTTGCCGCCCTCCAAGAAACTTAAAGTCTCAGGACGATTTAAGACAGAAGCAAGATCAATACATACGCAGATTTATCGATGAAGACCGAACTCATCTACTCAGATATGTAACGAAAGAATGCAGGACGCAGATCAGACCGGTAGCAATCCCACAAGTCATCAAACTCAAAGTTTCAAGCTATAACGCATGAAAATCTAAGCGAAGATGCGTCAATGGAGAGCGAGTCTCACCTGGTTCAGCGTGCAAAGAGAGATGGACGTTGAAAAAGCTACTGTTTACGCCAAACTCAAAACTTCTATATATATCTCCAATTTTCGTAGGATAGGTTAAAGATATTGTCCCTATAAGTATCGTATCTTAGTGGTATATATTTCCTATTTTGATATACTGATGTTTCCCGTTAAGATTATTACACCATGTATATATACAAAATATTTGCATAATTGTATAAGTAGATGGAGTTAAATTGAGTAATTGCTCAATAATTTGCTGTCGATTTCCAGTGGCGTTCTCTTGCAGCAGATCAATCTTCTTTTCTTTTTATCAAGAAGACGCTTATTTCTTCAAATAGCGAACTTCATAAATATTTAAGAGCATTACGTGTCATAAGAAATATTATTGACCGCAGAAGTCGACAATCGAATATATATTTCTTTTCTTATCAAATTTGGACAATGATTGTCCGCATAATTTGAGTTAGGGAGTGCAACAAAGGACAACTTATACATGCCATGTCAGATTTTGTGACCACTACTGTTTCGTCGGAATTGATCGGTAGTGAAATATCTTTCGCCAAAAGTTATTTTTCGATTTTTATTAAAGGAGATAGGTTCTATAATGATTCCGGACAGGAGATATCATAGGTAAACATAAAACAACGATAACTTCAAACAAAATTATACAAATGCAAACCGTGCCGGAATTTAATCGAAGCTAAAGCTTGGAAAATACAGCCACTTCGGCAGAACTGAACGTAAGCAAACTATACTGTAATTTAATCAACGACAATGCTTAAGACCGCAGAGATGTAAGTCGGAATTTAATCAATGACGCGACACCCGATATAAAGATACACGCCGGAATTTAATCGACAACGTGGATCTGAAAACTATAACTAAGAAACACGCTGGAATTTAATCGACGGTGCGAGTTTGGAAATTGAAAGTACAATACAAGAAAGTAAAGATAACTGAAAGATAATAAATTTATTTGTTTGTGCGTGGGAGGCGTTTCTAGTAGACGAATGATGGTATTTATAGTGGTTGTGCCATAGCCATCTCTGAGCAGTTTTCTTGCGGTCGCAGCCAAGTTCCCCCATCTCTGAAAGTTTTGTCCTTATACTCTCACAATGCCGTGGTATTGTCTTTAAACGGTTGTTCCTTTAAAATCGCGTGTTAGTAGGTCCATGACTTCCATCAATTTGTTCTCCAGTGACTTCAAACCTGTAACTGCATCTTGATGCCCTTTATGTGTTTGACTTTCTTCTGATGCCATAATCGATAATTTGTTGACCTTATTAATCGATACCTCTGTCGACTATCATTAACCATTTGTCATCATCTGTCGACAATCGATCAGTTATGATCATCGATGTGCATTAATATTGATCATATTTCTTGCGGTCGTTGTCACGTGCTTAATACTCCATACTCTAATCAAGATATGATAAACGACCAAGATATCCTAATATTTTACAATTGTAACAATGGAACCATTTTGTTTGACATAAGTTCTCTCCTTCTGTTTAATGAATCATAACTCGCTTGCTTCATGTGCATATTGTTTTAAAAAAAAACTCTAATCGATCCCATCGCTCTCGGTAAATTCCGTGCATAGATATGGTATGGTAAACTTCATCCTGTGATGATTTCTTCGTGCGTCAAATGGCGTAAACTTCATCCTAAGCCATTCCCCGGGGACGAGCCCGCACAGGTAATCGGGGCGCCTATACCTCGGGGGAAATTAGCCCAGCAACCTACCGCCAGGGCCCCCCACTTAAATTACGGAACCGAGCGGGGATTCGAACTCAGAACCTCTGAGGAGGGAAGGAAAGCGCCCACCAACTCGGCCATACGCAAGTGGGTTTCTATGCTATGTTTTTGGTCTCTATATGGTTTTAGTTTCTTTATCAAGTCGATATTCTCATAAAAAAAATGTGTTTGTTCCTATCATTAGTTGCGTTTCCCGGATGGCTCTATTGCTATATCTCAATGTATCAGAGGTGTGAAATTACTCTCCGAACACCTTGTTTTTGAGTTGCATGCGCAATCAACAAAACAGCACACCGTCACAGCTAACATCAAAAGTGAGAAAACAGGTTCTTCAAGACATGAAAGAAGCCTACTGACATCATCAGAGTTAATAAAACCTCCTTCATGTCAGAAAAACTGGATCCCACTAATCATCAGAAACACAAGCAGCTGAATATCAACTATTCCAACTTTATTATGACATTTCTGTACAACTTACAAGCAGTGCAAAATAACCATTAAGCCCGATCTGATCGTGTCGAAGCTTTTATTGGAAAAGGAAAAAAAACAAAACGGTTGAAAGAAAACTAAAATAACGGATGACTCTTGCCGGCCCTTTAAACGGCTTCTTGTAGCAGTGAGTTGCTTAGGAATAGGTTGGGTCATTGAAGACTTGAGCCTGACCATGAAAAACATTCTGGTGTCAAAAATTGCCGCAGGGGGTCGCACATCATGCTCTGATCTGAACTTCATTGACGGTTCTGCACCACGAATAGTCACCTCTTGAGGTTCCGAACTGCGTTGAACACTCAGGCGGTAAGGAACTCAATGGTAACGAATAATCATGGATTGATCCAACTAAACTGTCCTGTTGATACAGGGACTCGAAAGGCAGTCCGGCTTCAACCGCGCTGTCTTGCATGAAGACTGCATTGCTCGTATGGAGGTCTACTCCGCCGCTGGGAACGGTCCAGTCACTTGGCGCTGCCGTCTCGACCCTTCTCTTCTCATTGTCCTGTTGATACATGAACTCAAAAGACAGTCCGGCTTTGACCATCCCATCTTGCATGAAGCCTGCACTGCTTGCATGGAGGTCCACTCCGCCGCTGGATACGAACCAGTCACTTGGTGCCGAGATCTCAACCCTTCTCTTCTCCTTTATCGTGGCAAGCCTCGTCTTCGCCTGTTCGAGTCTATCGCCCACAGCGCTCAGAAGCGACCTCAGTTGAGGCTCTGAGAGATCTTTGAGGAACCCGTCCAAGACCGGATACTTGGCCTCCCGGTTGGCCTTGCGGACCTCGGCTAGCTCGGCATCAATCTTCCTCTTCCGGCTTGCGAAAAACTCGCGCAGTCCGGTGGCGTGCTTGGCACGGCGATCTGCGGCCTCACTTCGATAGCGGCGGACGATGCGCTCCACCTCCTTACCGTCCGGCGGCCAGATTTCCGGCTCGACCAGGCTCTCGCCGGACATCCCCATTGGGTATATCATCACACACGTGTCGACGCCGCAGAGGATTTTGAATTCCTCGGCCTTCTTCATTAGTCCCTTCTTTCTTTTCTCGAAGGTGATTCTGCGGGATCTTGAATTGGATATGAGTTCGAGTTTCAATTTAGCACGACCCATGTTGATTCGAATACTCAGAATGTCTTATTCGAATGTCTGAATCTGACTAAGGCGAGATGTCCTTTTCCTCGTCTGCAACAGAGAGATAGAGTGAACTATATTCAGTTACAGGAGAGGAAGTTTGTCCATCGAATGATCTTGTCCAAACAGACAAGAATATAATCGACATTCAACAGTCTCCGCCCAGCTACCCTCGTCTTCCCCTGTCATCTTTTCCACCAAATCTACCGAATCTTGAATAATCCCCATCAAAGTAGAGCAAACCTAACGGAAGCATATTAGGGCAAAAGATATCGAACCTACACCTCTCCCCGAATCATCGCTTGGCCTCCAAGTAATTCAAAATCCCAAGGGTTTTCAAGACAGAAGCAAGATCGATACATCCACAGATTCATCGATGAAGATCGAAATCATCCGCTCAGATATGTAACACGAGAATGCAGAATGCAGGACCCAGATCAGACCGATTGTAATCGCACGAGTCATCAAACTCGGAGTTTCAAGCTAAAAACCCATGAAAATCTAAGCGAAGATGCGTCGATGGAGAGCGAATCTCACCTGGTTCAGCGAGCGAAGAGAGAGGCGGACGTTGAGAAAGCTACTGAGTACGCCGAACTCAAAACTTCTATGTCTTATCTCCGATTTTCGTATGATCGGTTGAAGATTATGTCCCTGTGGGTATCGTATTTCAATGGTAGATATTTCCTATTTTGATACCCTAATGTTACCGTTAAGATCATTCCACTATGTCTATATTCAAAATATTTGCACACACCGATAAAAGTAAATGGAGTTAAATTGAATAATTTGCTAATTAATTTCCTGTCGATTAAGCCGTGAATAAATACGCTGGCTACTGGACTTCTTTCTTCTCTTTTTTTTTAGCAAATTTTTCTTGCGTTATCTTGTAATTCAAGATTTTCACCTACAAAGCTGTAAGGTAGTATGACTGTAAATTAATTATGAAAGTCTACTATCGTAGATTTGCAAATGTAAATTGTAAATTCTTTTTGATCGGTAAAAAAGGGCGAGATTATTAAATATCATGTATTAAATATCAGTGATCATTGACTATCGGTCATTAATTCCACTGGAAGCTCACTAGATTATTGTCAATGATTTACTCGTGGATTAGGGCCCTTGATATTTACAATTATGAGCCATTTATGAACTCGTTGACAAATTCAAATCCAATTAATCAACAAGAAAATTGTCCAAAAAATCATAAATCTATTGTATGACTATCAATTCAGTCTTTACTTTTTCAATTTGGTTAATGTAATCTTAAACCTTTTGACGATTTTCCAATGTAGTCATTCTGGCCAATTTATGCCGGAAATCGTTGACATGTACCCCAACCGTTTTACGTGGCACGGTTGGCGATTTAATGCGTCCAACATAACTCAAAACAACCTTGTTTTGAGAAATTTTCTTTATTTTTTCTTTATTTTTTCCTTCATCTTCCCTAATTCTGATTGGCGGGGTTGCTCACTGATCATCGCCGGGGCCTCGGCGACCCAGTCGACCGGAAATCCTGGAAGATAAAGGAAAAAAGAAAAGGAAAGAAATAAAAGATTTAAAAAAAATTACGTCAAATTACCATCCATTTCACATAAAATGATCGGACCGTCACGTTAATGATTTTTGACCTAAATTGGTCGGACGAACTATATTAGAAAACCGTCGAAAGTTTAGAACTGTTTAGGCGAAATTAAAAGTTTAGAACTAAATTGACGAACGTACGATGACTTTATTATTTTTTTGGATAATTTTCTCATTCACCCACGGTGGAAAAGAAAAGGTCCCACTCTTAAATTTTTCTCTCTTTATTATTATGGTACGCCATCGGGAAAAAGAATTTTCACGTGGCTACCACGTGACAGCCGGCGTCTCCGCATCCCGTTATCCAGATCCAATGCCGACGAGCGAGCGCGTAGCTTATAATTAATTTAATTTAATTTAATTAATATATATATATATATATATATAACCTTCATACGAAGCACAGAGCCTTCAAAGCTCAAACTTTGACGCGGTACTTTCTTCATTCTCGCAAGCAAACCGAAGCCAGACGCCATTGGGGATTGGAACTCGAAATCTGAGCAGATCCCCCCGCCGCCCGCCGCCGCCGCCGCCGCGATGGAGCCGCCTCCACCGCGACCCTCCGCGTCCTCGAAGCTCCGCCTCATGTGCAGCTACGGCGGCCGCGTCGCCCCCCGCCCCCACTCCAAGTCCCTCTTCTACCACGGCGGCGAGACCCGCATCGTCACCGTCGACCGCGCCTCCTCCTCCGCCGCCGCCGCCTCCCTCCCCGCCCTCGCCTCCCACCTCTCCGCCGCCCTCTCCGTCGCGCCCCCCTTCGCCCTCAAGTATCAGCTCCCCGACTCCGACCTCGACGCCCTCATCTCCATCTGCACCGACGACGACCTCGCCGTCATGATGGACGAGCTCGACCGCCTCTCCTCGTCGTCGGACCCCGGGGCTAGGCCCTCCCGCATCAGGCTGTTCCTCTTCCCGACGAGGCCCGAATCTGGATCCGAGTCGGCTCAGCCCTCCGTGCTGTGCCACCCCAAGACCGAGACCTGGTTCATCGACGCGCTCAAGGGCGCGAGGATCGTGGGGAAGGAGGACGACTTCGATCACAGCGGTGGTGCCGAATCGGTGGTTCTCGAGACGAGCTCGTCTTTCGGGTCCACGTCGTCGTCGGTTTCGCTGTCGAATTTGCCTCCGCTTGTGGCTCATGTGGACGAGCTGGGAGCTAAGAATCATCCCCAAGATTCAATGGCAAGGTACTTGTTGTCGATGATTCAATGCAATTACATTGCAGCGGGCATTAGTGTAAGATAGAAATGATAACTCGTTCAATTTCAATTCCATTTCATCTCCAAAATGCGACATTTGAAAGGATAACTCGTTCAAACTGTGCTTCGATTTGCTAGAAAAAGAGTTGTTAGCAAGGGGACGATGTGGTCCATTTGATTGATGCAATTGGGTTCGTTTTTTATTTTTATTTTTTTATTTCCCTTCTTGTTGGTCTATGATTTACAGAGATTGTAGCAGTGTTGCGAGTGCCAATTCAAACATGCAGACCGGACCCTATACTGTCCCTGTTGCACATGTTGCATCCCTGCAGACCCAGACTTCTGCGAATACTCTCGAATCGAAAAGCTGGACCTTTTGTTCCGGTGCTCAGCCATGTACAACTATTCCAGTTTCTGGTTATCCAGTGACTCCTCAATTCGATCAGATGCAACATGTCCAGTTTTTTCCCACGGCCTCGCCTTACATGTCCCAGAACCCTGGTTTTGTAGTGCCCGTTTCACAGTACTATCCCGTTTATCAACTGCAGCAACAGCCATTGTATTATGCGCCAAATCAGTCTTATCCCACTTACATGATGCCTATGCCTATGGCCCAGTCACAGAATCAGCCGATGCTGGGTCCATTGCGTGATGCTCCGGCTATCACCTCTAGTCAGCCGGCTCCGGATTTTAGTCCTTTGGTGAATCCTCAGGTAGCTTATAAGGAAGTCCCTGAAGCTCTGAGAAAACCGGAATTAGCTCCGCAGATTTTCACTACTGTGCAGGGGACAGCACCACTCGCTCATGTACCCGTTACTGAGAATAAGCAAAATCTCATGCAAATGAACCAAGTCCGAAAACATCCTCAGCCCGTCGATGTAGTGCACGAAGAAACTTGTTATTATGATGATGAGTATGTCGACGACCCTGCGCGGCTCCAAATCTACAAATCTCAGCCACTACCTCCAACATTGCCTTCTCAGTACCAGACCATGACTGAGGCGAATACTTTATTGCTGACAGAGGCGTTGGCCCAGTTGAATACTGATCGCATGAAGCAACAGAGTAAAACCTAAATGCCACGGTGAGGCATTTCAAGTGAAAGAATATTTAGGTTTCAATAGAAGTGTTGATGTTTCTCAGACTTTTCTTCTGTGCCACTTGTATGAAGCAGTGTTTTTGTGTTCACTGTGACAAAAATAAATATTACAGTTTCACGAGTTACTGATTATTTCTTTATTTGTTCTTGGTGCTATGCATCATGGTTCCTGTTAGTGGATGACACATGCATCAAACACCAGTTTCACAGAGCATTATTTTTAGTTGTGATCGTGGATCGTCTTCTCTCTTGATAGTTCGATCCATCTGCCAAGTGAAAGTTTTGTTTGAAGAAGTTGTCTGAGTTGGCATTTGGCTCTGATTTTTAACCCTTAATTAGATTTGTTATTTTGGCCAGTAGATATTGGTAATAATAGTAAAAGCTGTCATGATGGTTACTAGTGGCTGATATCTCATTGGTGCTTAACATCTTTAACACACGATATGGGAGTCTTTCTTCACTAAAGACTACCTGCTCCAAATGCAAACACTAATGAGGGGCAGTACTATTTGAGTAGGGGTTCACTAAACAGGTGATGTTAGTGGCAGGGTGCTCTATGGGAGAATGTATTTTATTCACAGATTCTGAAAATGGGTTGATGTGCATAATCTCAGAATTGTGTCCTTGTCTACATTACTTTTGTTTTCTTGATCTTAATAATTTTCCAGCAAGACTGTGGATGTGGCCGCATCGAGAGCTTGTAATGCACATTAACTTTTAGGCGCTTTCTTCTGTTTTTTCTTTTTGTCACCTGCGGCGGAGGGGGATGGTGATACTCAAGTCCAGGTCTACTCGGGCAACTATGCGGGACAAGGTAAAGAGAAAAGGGCGACTATCTTGTTCTCTTGTGTGATTCGAATCACAGTCATGTTTTCAGCAGGAGAAAGCTATCTCTGCTATACTCTGTTCTAGTTTACATGTTCAGGATTGTCTAAAGTTCGCTGACATTTTTTAGCAATGAGATCTTCAAAGAGGCTCTGTCCGATGGAAATTTAATGTCCCAAGTGATCAGAGCCTAGTTTATTATTTTTCTCGGGCAATTCATATTCACAAGCTCCTGGATATTGAGGATTTGGACATGCTGTGCTAGTCGTTGTGGCTAAGTGCATATTCTCAATCTGGTTACATAAGCTTCTCGGATGTTTGGTGCGTTGGTCTCTTGCTTGCTACGTTCTAGCGTGCATCATCTTTGCATTGATCGAAGGATGCATATTTATATGCTGATAGCCATTCAGTCCCGAAAATATTCCACGTCGAATTGCAGATTGGCGCTGACCACTAGTAGTCGCTTTTCATCCTTAAAGCAGACATTAGTATCACGACAGATGATAACTTCGCCTATCAATCATTTCATATACCGACCGGTGTCATCAGTATCTCTTTTCCAGGCTACCAGGAGTAGGAATTGCACATAGAAATGCAACACTTTCTTGTGTTAAAACGGGGAAAGAAACAGAAAAATAGGAACGATATAACAGTTTCTTTTGTATGCAGGTAATCAAAGTTAACTCGGCAGCCATTTGGTCTCCTTGTACAAGATCGACTAGATCAGACACGGCTCACGGAAAGTGGGACAAGATCAAGGAAAAACTCAAAGAAATGTGCCGTGCCAATGGTATTGTCGCTGAAGCCGGAGCTCAACGATGTCAAGAACCGATGTAAGGACAGGAAAAAAAACCAACCTCCCAATGCACTCTTTCAATAGCCTTTGAAACTTGAAGCTCTCACAACGTGAACGATGCAGGTGCGAGCTCCCACCTGCGAATCCTGGCAAACATTGACCATCCTAGTCTTGTCTCATGCAAAAACAGTTGCACCGCCTTAAAACTTACTGAAAGAGCACTTTGGTTTGGATAGCCATTCAAGCTTGGAGGACCTTGGACTTCCTCTTCGTATCTCCTCCACTGAAAATCTTGGTTAGGTTCGGCATCACCTTCTTTCTCTTCTTGAGAGCTATCGAAGGTGACCGAGTCAGAAGACGGGTTCCAGGTGAACTGGACTTGCGGAACTTTGCTCTTCTGGCTGGAGAAAAATCGGCATTGTCCACTCTAAGTTTTCTCGGCGACTTTCTCGGCAAAGCCAATTGAGCATTCTCGCTTCCTGAGATCTTATCCCGCTTTTGCCTCCAATTTGTTATCTCTCCCTCGACCCTTCTCTTTGCAGAGAGTGACCTTTCCATCCGATACACCTGCTGCTCTTCCTCCACCCTCATCTCTCTCCCCTTTCTATGCACCAGCTCACTCTTCATCAGGATCTCTCTCTCGCTTGCCTTCAGAGCTTCGATCCAAGCCTGAGCTGCCGCAACCTTTTTATCTGCGATTTCTTCGGCCCCAGTGGCACGGCCTGTCAAGTAATCGTACTCGAATTTTGAAATAGTGATCGAAGAGCTATGCTGAGATACGGTTGCTCTTTCTCTCAGTGTGTTCTCAATTAGAGTTCCGAGGTTCTCAAGAGCTTGCGCTTCTGAGGCTTTGACTGTTACAAGCTCCTGCATAGCAGCTTGTAGTCTTTCATCAGTCAAATCTATCTCACCCTCAGTTTTCTGAATCTCTTCCTTAATCTCTTCCGTCTCTTCAAAAATTAACTCCTTCTCTTTCTTCGCGGCCTCTGCTTCTGTCCTTAACTGTTCGAGGGTGAGCGAGAGATTGGAAACGATCGACTTAGCTTTCTCCTCGGCTGCTGTCGTGGCTTCCAACTTGGATTTCGCTCTCAGCAGCTTCGAATTGAGACTTTGGACAGTTAATTCTGTTTTCTCCTCTGCTATCTTCAGCCGTGCTCTTTCTTCTGCGACAAACCTCAACTCATTCCTTATTATGTCCATGGAGGACATGAATTGAAAGCCCTCTTCCTTAATTGTTGCCAATTCTTTCTTCGCTTCCTCTAATTCCTCCGTGACTGCCCGTAACATGACGGAAGTTTCATCTTCCTCGCCTTTTTCGATTCCGTCTTCCGGATGATGGAAGCCATTGTCCATCGGAACCCTTTTGTCCATATCTCTCACTAGTTTCAGCTCATTCTGCAGCACATAGACATCAGATAATGTTACAGCTAGTTTAGCCCCTAGCTCCTTCGAGTTCTCAATTTCTTCTCTCACATGATTCATCTTTTGCTTCGTTTCTTCCACTTTGTTCGAGTATTCGCTCAATTCCTTCTCTCTCTCAGCTTCGATCACTGCGTGTTCCTTCAGAGCTTCGATTTGCGCCAACTCGACCAGCACCTGTTCCTCACCAACTTCCTCGATCTCCTTCCTCAGCGCCTCAGCCGAGCTCATGGAAGACCGCATTTTTGAGCTTGACGCTTCCGCTTCTTTCTGCACCCGCAATTTCTCTTCCAGCACTGAAGCCACGTCCAGCTTAAGCTTGCTCAGTTCCAGCTTGACGTGTTCGAGCTCTCTCGTCACTTCTTCATACCGAGACTTCTCGCTCTTCCTACCACTCTGCAGCGCCTGCGGCCTCGTTCCCTTATCGAATTCACGCAGCTGCGACTTGACATTAGAGCTCGACACCTCGATCAGCGTTTTGAGATTCTTGACCTTGCTCCTCGCTTCGGAGAGCTCGGTTTCTGCCTCGGCTCTTGCGGACTCGGCATTCCTTCTGCTCTCGCGGTGCCGGGTAATGTCCCTCTTGGCCAGAAGCAATTCCTTAGCTCTCGAAGAAGAATTCTTCACGAGATTGGAATTCGAATGAATTAAACAACGACAAACTTGCATATACTTCAAATAAGCATTAAGCGACATGGTTTAAAAACTGTCTAAAATAAAAAAAAATTCATCCAAGAGTGATGAACGTGATACCTCGGGGAAGTTCTTCTGGGTATTCCTCAAAGCTGGGGTGCTCTCAAGAATCCTCTCTCCGTACATATTGATGGCTGCCTTGACAGAGCCAATGTTTCTGTCACCAGGTCTCCTCCTTTCCATGCCCAATCTCGGTTCAGCAATCAAAATTCAAAGCGAAAATTTCTCAAACTCGGGGACCGAAAGAGAGCTTTCAATCGGAACACTAACTCGCACCCTGCAATACCATGATGAGAAAAACACTCTGGGGGCTTCTGGCTGTAATCTAAATTTGCAACTTAAAAGAGGGTTATCTGAATGCGAAGATCACCTAGTATCGTTGCTTAGGTAAGTGCGTAGGTTGTCTGAGCGAGCTAGGAGGATGGAGCTGAGCCTCTGGACGTGGGCGATGAGTCCAAGAAGCCAACGCAGCAGGAGCATCTGCTGCGCAGGACAGGCATATTTGGAATGAGGAAGATAGAGCGGCAGCGTGGCTTGGAGTTCTGATGATTGGCTGTAGTATTCAGTGGATCCTCAGCCATCTATTTTTCGTTTGATATTTTCTTTTGGGTATTTTATTAATTTCAGGAAATGAGGAAATTGTAGGTCTTCCCGTATTTTGAACGAGCACCCTCAGAGCACTTGTTGCTCGTTAACCATATACCGAATTAGAAAATGTTTGAATTTTAACAATAATTACATATAATAAGAGGGATACTGCGCTAGAAATAACAAATTTTGTTAATTTGATTGCTAACAAAATCCTTATGCGAAACCTTATATCTCATATAGACATGAAAGAGAGTTTTTCCGGAATAAACGAGGTTTGAGTATTTATTGAATCGTATATTCTATCTCATACATACACACGTACGTGGATTTTTGTACATCCCTTGATAACGGGTATTTGATTAGTAATCATATCCCTTACTATTTACTAGTTGCCCTTCTTCTTTTTTATCGAGAAAGCAACTTAATGTTTTTTTTTTTTTGGTAAGGAGAAAGCAACTTAATGTTAGTACTTAAGAATTCTCAAACAAAGGATTCGGTACCGGAGCATCCAACCATAGCAAATCCTATAGAGGTTGGAATCGAAGAATCCACTCCGTTGGCTCATTTATTCAATTCCTTTATATTTCTAACGTTTAAATGATGTCTAATCATCCCTTTTTATATTGTTCTTCAATCATCAATTCTTTAAATGTATGACTCCTAATAAGATATATATATATTTATTTAAATCCCATGTAAATCAAACTTTACCTACATTCTAGAGCCCGTGTCTCGAAGAAGATACCAATGGTCCTACTTTTCGTGGATGTCCAAGAGCCCCTTCGGGGGCTGGGGACAGAGACAGGATTACATGATGAACCGATAGCGCACCACGTATCAGTATCAATACGAACAACATACCTAAAAAAAAGGGACCAATTTCACGTGTTTCTTAGTATCATCTGTCGTCATTCGAAGAGGGGGGGCCTCCACGGCAAGACTCCACAGAAAAGCATGGTGGACAGAGATTAATCCAATGCGACCGTCGTAATTAATTGGATGTTCGACGGAGGATGCTCCGAAAGCACGTAATAATCTTTCTTAACCAGATCACGTCTTGGCTTTTTGCCCCGCCATTGAAATGTATTTCACCATAGCAAAGTATGAGAGCGACGCCGGGGCGAAAGGGGCCGATAGCTTTGCAGGAAAGATTTTGCGCGTAACTTTTATGTACCGATCATGTAATATGATTTGAGATAAGTCGGCATGTAACTGTGATATTATCGGGAATTTTGGAGATTCAGATTCAATTGCATAAAAAACTAGAAATAAACTCCGCCCTTTCTTTCACTCTCGTGATCTCGAGTTTTTGAGATACTAAATCGTCCTCATTGACATTGCTTGTGGCGATATTCCATTTTTAGTCTTGTTTCGACTTTGGCTTCTTGATTAGTTTACCGCTAAATTTGGCTATCAAAATGTAAGTCGACATTTGATGTTGCAATCTGACGTTCGGAAAAGAAAAATCATACGACCGACAATACACTTAGTTAAGCAAAAGCCTCCAGAAAAATGAAGAGCTACCAGGAATATCAAAAGCTGCATTAATTGCGGATAATTTCCTAATTAACAAATCGATAATTCTCGCAAGTCTCGTTAAATATAACTTTTTTTCACACAAAAAAAAAAAAACCATTGCTCTGTAAGTCTGTATGGAGTCTCGAAGTGGGATAAAGGGCGGGCGTTGACTCTTGACAAACGGTGACGGTCCACCAATCCCCGAAGCTCACGTGGCGCGCGCTTTCTTCTGCGACGAGGCTCACCGAAACTCCCATCAGATCTGATCCATCGCGCCCTCCGTTTTGCCGACCGATCTCATCGTGCGTCCAAGAACGACCGTCTCCTCGAGCTCCGGCGCTACCGCGGCACAGCCGAACACAAAAATCGACTACAGAGCCCCCGAGAACATCACACTTCGTCTCGCCAATACGTATAAAAATCCAAAATCTCGAGCTCAAACTCCCATTTTAATGGCGACAGATCTCGTCTCGGATCCCGAATCTCCACCGCCATCGCCGGCGGAGGGGGAGCTCTCGGCGTGAGCTCTTCGGCCTTCCGGATGCGGGATTTGAATTTGCCGAGCGCGATCCGAGCCTGAAACCTGCTGGATTCCATGGACGTGGAGCGATCGTCCCTGTGCAACTGCGCGGTGAACTTCCTGCTGGAGGAGAACTACCTGCTGACGGCGTTCGAGCTCCTCCACGAGCTCCTCGACGATGGCCGCGACGCCCAGGCCATCCGCCTCCGGGAGTTCTTCGCGGATCCCTCCCATTTCCCTCCCGATCAGATTTCTCGCTTCAACACTCTCCGAGGTACGTCCGGGATCGCGGATGCGCTCGCGTAGCCACGTGTGTATGTCTGTTTGGGTAATGAGGCTTGGAGACGCGAGTCGGAGCTGCTGTTCGATGGTGAATTGGAGTTTTTCCTGTTTGATTTGTTCATTTCCGAAGTTTTGGATCTTCTTGAGCCTGTTAACCCTCGTAAATGATTGAGGCAGTTCGGGGGACTATGATGATCAATTGATATGAAGCTGCACAGAATTAGTGTTTGGTTTCTTCGAGTATTGGCCGTGGCAATAGCACGATCTTCTATATAGTTAAAAATGGCGAACTTGTCTTGGGGAAGAGAGCTCCTGTCAAGTTACAATTTTAGAGGATGATAGGTTGTGGCGATTGGAGAGGACTCATAGTGCTGCTAAGGTCTGCTTCTTCATTAATTTTGGTTTGTTTCCTAACTTCATATCTTCCATTTGAATGGAGACTCTGCATACGTTCTAATGTATCTCAGAGAGAGAATAAGTTTCTAGTTTAGTTAGGAAGCTGCTTGTTAATGTGTTTGTCCCCAACTGTCCATGTATGGTTGAAGTTCTTATGATGTTTTATTATTCGTGTTATATGTTGTGGAATTTTGCTCATTAGTTTCCAGTCCTGCTGTTCTGTAAAATGGGAAGTTAGGATCTGGAAGTTTGCATCCCTTTGACATTGTGCTGTGAACTTTTACTGTGGTCCATGATGACTTTTAGCATCTTACATCGATCTACGTGTACTTTGAGTACATGATTTCTTTTGAAACATTCATGGTCAATATCATGTTATTTTTGTTTCACAAGCAGTTGCAGACCCTCAGAGTTTGCTCGAAGAGAAACAAGCATTGGAGGAAAAAATGGCCTTCTGTGAATACGAGCTCCGTTTGGCGCAAGAGGATATCACAAAGTTGAAGACAGAATTGCAGAAGAAATCAGATATTTCTGCAAATGAATTAAGTGGTAGGCTCTGCTTTTTTTGTAGGTCTTAGCTCGGCTTGTTGAGGACGAATAAATTTCCACATGTCAATTATTAAATCATTGATGATACCGTATTTATTTTCTTCTTAAAATTACCATTCAGTTGTGGAGAAAAGCCAACAAAGAAAAACAGTTGTTTTCCAGAGTAGAAGTATGTAAAACAGTATTCATGCTCCCCCTCATATTAATGAGTTGACGGTTTCTTTTGGTAAAAAGCTCATTCATAAACAGTGCTCCAATTAGATGCTACAACAGTGCAGATTGACGATGGGACTTATGACCGCTGCTATGCCAATATTCCAATCTTTCAGGAACACTTGTATCACAATAGTCATGAATATACATGGGCTTCCCATAATTCTGGCAATGATTTCTTTTAAACTTTGATGCACTTGCAGTTCCTAATGTAGAGTCTACAAAAGGAGGACAGGATGTACAGAGACAAAAGAGGGATATTTCATTTTCTGACCTGGGCCCTTTAAAGGATAACGAACGGTGCGATCTTAACTGTGCGGTGAAAGAATATTTGCTTATAGCAGGCTACAGGCTGACTGCAATGACTTTTTATGAGGAGGTATGGAGGACATCGTGAATACAGTTCTATTGCATATGTTGCTTCTGATGATTAGGACCTTACCTATTATACGTTGGTTCTTCTCCTTCTGGATTTGATTCTTAATCTTGAAACTTGATTTAAATCTCCATCTCCTTTTGTCTGTTCTCACAAACTGTGTTAGATGAACCGAACAGTGATTCCTGGGTATCATGTTTGCAGTCAGTAGAGTAGGTAACCACGGTTTCTACGGTAGAACTATCTGTTACTTATGGTATTTTGTTGTTATAAAAGAAGTAAACTATTTGAACATACTATGAGTATTATAACAAACAATCAGAAGGGATGAATGTACTGGAACTAGCATTTCCGACTATTCTCTATTTTTTTAGAATCTTTAAATATATAAATGTGGTATACCAAGATAGAAGCCCTTGAGCATCCACCTCAGAACGCCATGTGTCAATCTTTGATTGGCCGCCCAACCACACTGACTTGCACATTTGTTTTTATATATAAGTGCTACACAAATTTAAGGAAGAAGCATGATTAGCCCGGTGGTTGGGGAACTGATGTGCTTGTTTGGCGCCAGGTTGAGGGTTCAATTCCCAACACTGTCGTCTCCAGTGTCTTCTCCTCTTTTTATTTTGGGTTTTTTTCTGTTGATAAGGCTCTTACTTTTTGCAGAATTGATTTTTCTTTATCGAATTGATTTTTTGTTATCAAATTAGTTCATCCCATCATACTAAGTTAGAAGGAAATAAGTCTAATAAAGAAATTAGTGTTTATGATCAAATTTTTTATAGAAAATTAATTTCCTTTTACACCATTTGTTCATTTTATTTTTTTTATCGACTCATAGAAGATCTTTTTATGTTAGCATATCTTTTTATTTAATTTCATACACAAACATTCATTTTTCGTTGTAATTATATCAATGTATGTATAGATCATCATGCTTTGTTATTGCCTAATATAATATGGAAATAAATATTTACTGTAGATGAGAATACTTCAATGCTATTATCAGATGTCTTGAAATAGTTAAATTCTCTCTTTTGCAACAGATAAACTTAAAATCTAAGCATGTTGATTCACCATCTAATCAGGATGCATATGAGATGATGATGTTGAAATATTCGTTAGCCCAAAAAGTGTGTTTCATAAAAGATTAAGTTGATTCGTGGCATTGCATGGGTCCATTTTAGTGTTCTTAATTGCTGAATACATATGTAACATAGGCCTGGTTGAAACTCGAATGGATGGCTATATAACCAACATCCAATAAAGTAGTTGGTCTAACCACACTTCAATTTTCCTAATGGGTTCTTCAATTGGGAAATCTAGTTTATTTAGCGTGATAAAGTATTTAGAGAACCTTTGAAAGTGGTGAATAGGTACATCAGTTTTTATCAAGATACCCTTTTTCTTAGTACTGCTTTAGTGAACATTTTTTAAATTTCAAACATTTTTTTTTCAATTTATAAAGTAGCCATCCATGTGGCTCATTACAGAGAATAAGATCCTATGGAAGCGCATTTGTCTGTCCTTAAATTGTTTTCAGAACATTGTAACAAAGGTCCAATTTTCTTCTGCAGGTCACAGACCAGAACCTTGACGAGTGGCAGGAAACATCAGCACGTGTGCCAGATGCTTTAAGACATTACTATTATCAGTATCTTTCATCCACTACAGAGGCAGCTGAGGTACTTGCAGCAATATAGGCGATTCCTGATAAAATTACTTTTCTTTTAAGTTGGTGTAGTGATTTGCATGTGCTCTTTTTCCAAGTGTTGGGTGAGATTGAGAAATTCCTCAGGCACTTAGATAACAAACTCCCTCTTTCACTTTTGCTAAGGTCACTCTAGCACTCTTTTACTACCCTTCTATCCCCCGAGCTTAAGCCTTTCTAGAAGTTGTGCTTGTTCTTGATGACTAGTACTATATCCGCATCATTCCAGCGTGACCTATTCTGTCCTATGTTTCCAGTCACTACCTTTTCCTCTGTTGTAAGCATGGAGACTGACTGTAATTTATGTCTTTTTAACATACTCTTTCTGTTTCACATGGCTGTGACTCTGTGAGTGCTGTTCAATTGTTATGAGCTATTTGACATTAATCAATAATTTGTTTTTGGATGTGTCTTTGTCTTTCTGGGCCAACTTTTGGATTTTTTTTCGACTAAATGTAGTTGAAGCAAGAAAGTTTGAGCTCCATCGAAACACATATACATGTGAAGACCTGTGGTTTTCCTGGGATTGGGTATTCAAAAACTGATCGTTGCTTGAATACAAATTATATTCCTATTTGCTTAAGTGCAAAAAAAAGTCTAACCTTCCTACATGCAGGAGAAAGTTGCCATGATTCGGGAAAACGAGTCTTTACAACAAGCAAATGAGAATTTGATTAACGCCAAAGAAGTTCTAGTGAGAAGCAAAGATGCAGCAGAGGGTCAAGTAGGTGTATTGACCAAAACATTAGAAGCTTTGCAGAAAGATCTGAAAGATCGGGAGACCCAGGTATCTTTTAATTTTTCTTGAAACTTCTCGTTTGTTCTTTTAACGCTGATATTGTGATGACAAATATTTCAGACATGTATAATCAGGTACAAGTTTTGAAGCAGTCCTTGGAGCACCAAAGGGAGGAGCTAAATGAATGCAGGGCTGAAATTACCTCACTAAAGATGCATATTGAAGGATCTCTTTCTGGAAGAAACTTGGCAGCTGCTGATATTGACCATGTCCAATCTCAAATAATGGAAAGATACAAGGAAGAAATAAAACTGCTGCAGCAGGAATTAGAGACTTTGAAGGCCAAAAATTTAGTTGCTCCTGATTTTCTTGATTTGGTCAACTCTAAGGAAGAACCTAGGGAGAGAGAAGAAGTTGTGGATATACATGAAGATAAAGATGTCTTGCCTCAGTCGTTTGATAGTCAACCAGGCATTGGGGATGGGCTGGTTAGCCCCAGCCGTTCACCTGCTGTTGAAGCCTTTGGTGATGATGCTCCTAAACCTCAGGAAGTTTTGCAAGATACGGTTATTAAACCTTCACCTGAGAACCCCACTTTTAGTAATGGTGACAGTGTTGCCAAGCAAAATGGTGAAGTGCCAAATGAGGATAGTGGGATCCTCACAAACTCTGATGATTTAAAGGGTGGAGCTGTCAAAGAAAGGATGGTAAGCTAACATTTCTTCCGATAGAATGCCTTAAAGGGTCAAGCGTATGATGTTTTTATATATTCATCTCAACTGCAGCAGCTGAAGTGCTTGTTGGCTGGGTGGCTGCATTTTTTATTCCCTCCTTTTCTTTAAACAAAAGTCGCACGATGTATTGGAATATTGAGATCACTCGTGTCCTTTCTGAGGAGGAGAAACCCTTACAATGAGCTCTTGTAGATGTTGTTTGCGATTTAGTTGCATTTAGCTGAAGTAAATGCATGCTTCACAGGGTCCGGAAACAATTCAAATCCTTGCAGATGCTCTACCAAAGATAGTCCCTTATGTTCTGATCAACCATCGAGAGGTTGGCATTTTGGTTACTATAAAATATGTCTCAAGTGTTATTTCACGCACGAGGGGGATGGCCTTGACATCGTACGAGGTTTGTTGATTTCAGGAGCTTCTTCCTCTGATCATGTGTGCAATTGAGCGGCATCCAGATAGCAGCACAAGAGATTCCTTGACACATACGTTATTTAATTTAATCAAACGTCCGGATGAACAACAGAGGCGAATCATAATGGATGTAGGTCATTTGTTAAGAACACCACTTGCTTTTCATACTGAACTTTGTGATTGATCACAGTGCTTAATCTGGTGGGTTTTCTTTTCAGGCTTGTGTTACCCTTGCCAAGAATGTGGGAGAGATGAGAACAGAAACAGAATTGCTTCCTCAGTGTTGGGAACAAGTGAGTACCAAATCCCATGTGCCGAGGACTGTCCAGTTTTGCCTTTTTCCTGTCCTCTTTTTTTAGTTTTTTAAATACTGATCTCCTTGGCCTTTTGTCTTTAGATAAACCACATGTACGAGGAGCGTAGACTGCTTGTTGCTCAGTCGTGTGGTGAACTTGGAGAATTTGTGAGGCCTGAGATTCGTGATTCTCTTATTTTGTCAATTGTTCAACAACTGGTGGAGGATTCTGCTACCATTGTCCGAGAAGCTGCTGCGCACAACTTGACTTTGCTGCTGCCTCTCTTTCCAAACACGGACAAATATTTCAAGGTCAGCCTCACTATATATCCCTTGAGGCAATCATGGAGACGAAATCTGACTTCTTGCCAGAATTGGCTACAATGTAAGCTCTAGAACAGGTTGATGACATGTGGTCTAGAGAGTGGATCCCCCGATTGTAGTGTACCTTGTCCCAGGAGTGCATAGAAAAACGAGGCATACTGATTCTTTTGTTTGAACATTCTGTTGTTTGATAGGTTGAGGAGTTGATGTTTCAACTGGTCTGTGATCCCTCTGGTGTGGTGGTAGAAACTACTCTGAAGGAACTAGTTCCAGCAGTTGTGACTTGGGGAAAGATGTTGGACCATGTCCTTAGAGTTTTACTCTCTCACACTTTAAGCTCAGCTCAGGTAGGGTTGTTTGAGTCTCTCGGTTACTTCTGTTCGTGCTTCTCATTTACATATGGTTCTCCAATGATTTTCTTCCTTTGTACATCAGCGCTGTCCACCACTTTCGGGAGTTGAGGGTTCTGTGGAGTCGCATCTTCATGTTTTAGGAGAACGTGAGCGGTGGAATATCGATGTTCTGTTGAGGATGCTTTCAGAATTGCTTCCCTTTGTATATCAAAAAGCAATTGAGACATGCCCGTTTTCTTCTGCTTCGGAATCAACAGGAACTGTAATTTCGAGTTCCTTATTGGAGCTGTATTCTGAGTAAGTTTTCTGTTTCTGGTTAACACCATAATTTACCTTATTAAATCCTTTCTTTGCTATACCTGGTTTGAATTTAATCTTGTCTTCAGGGGAAGATTGGAGTGGCCTGCATTTGAATGGATGCATGCAGACTGCTTTCCTGATCTAATACTGCTGATGTGCTTGTTGCCTCAGAAAGAAGACAATTTAAGAAATCGAACCACAAAGGTGGAGTTCTCCTCTTGGTTTTCTTTTGATTCTCTAACTTCTTACTTTTAATGTTTATTCAGGCATTTGTCTATAATTACTGACTATGCCATAATAATCCAGTTCCTATTATCAGTATCAGAACATTTTGGAGATTCCTACCTGACGCAGATAATGTTGCCCATATTTATGGTGGCAGTCGGGGACGATGCTGATTTGGAGTACTTCCCGCCTACTGGCCGTACAAAAATCAAAGGTAATGAAGAGAAATGTTAACAAAGCTAGTGTTCCCTTTGCACATTGGTCAAATTTCACCGACGGTATCTTGCTTTTGAAACCTATTCTTACCTTGTTCAGACTGTTCATGACCTTTAATTTTCACTTTTGCTCTCACTAACATTAGAGATATTGCTTGCTCCAAAAGAAAAGATGCCAAGGAGTAAAATATCCCCGTATTTTTCTCTTCTTCACGTCACTGAAAGTAATTTCTCAACTAGATATGCTTTTACTGGCATGCAAATGAAGTTCCTTAAGTGCCCGCATCACTAAATAAGATGGGGTACTAGAAGAAGCCTGGGGTATGTGGAATAGTGGCGTTTGTTAGATCACTGATGTATGAATATGTGATCTTAAATTATCACTTCCTTCTGGCATTTGAAAGTCAGAAATTCTTTCCTTGGTAACAGGTTTGAAACCAAGAACTGCTGTTGCTGAGAGAATTGCCACAATGTGTGTCTTGCCGCTTCTCCTCGCTGGTGTTTTAGGTGCTCCTAGCAAGAGAGAACAGTTGGCAGAGTACTTAAGAAGGCTCTTGGTTCAAGAAACAGGGATGGAGAGTCAGACAAAGCAAGAAACTGAGATTTTTTATGCTGTCCGCTTCCTTTGGTCTGTCTTTCTTGATCCCCACGTGCTTTTACGCTCCGTATCCTATTGTTCATCTAATGAAGTTTCTTCCTCCTTAAATTTGCAGTACATCTGAAGAGCATCATGCCATGATCTTTGGCATATTGTGGGAAATGGTTGTTAGCTCAAATGTAAATATGAAGATCAGTGCAGCCAACTTGTTAAAAGTCATGGTAAGCTTCTGTATACTTTGGATTTCTTCATGCAACGAGTGATCTATCTGAAACTTAATATGTCTCAATCATGTCGTAGGTTCCTTACATCGATGCAAAAGTTGCATCAACTCATGTTCTTCCTGCTCTGGTGACTCTTGGATCTGATCAGAATTTAAATGTGAAGTATGCAAGCATAGATGCTTTTGGAGCTGTGGCCCAACACTTTAAAAATGACATGGTAAAGTTTCTCCAGTAAGTTGAATGTGAAATCTTAAATGACAATTATTTTTTATTTACTGATCATATCATGTCAAACAGATTGTCGACAAGATACGGGTACAGATGGATGCTTTTCTTGAAGATGGATCACATGAAGCTACTATTGCTGTTGTTCGTGCACTAGGGGTAGCTGTACCTCATACAACAGAACAGCTGAGGGATTATATCCTCCAAATCTTTTCATAAGATCAACTGTGCTCTTGCTTGTTTTGCTTTTGGTCTTTGCTTTTATCAGCCTTAAGTTTGTTGGCTAGGAGTTAGATTTCTACTTGAAACTTGCACGTTTTCATCTGATATTTTGTTTCTTTAACAAGAGATACATCTTTTATCCAAGATTTTTCACTTCACCACCATACCAATTCCTGCCAGTGATGTGATTCGTCGTCGTGAAAGAGCCAATGCCTTTTGTGAATCTATTCGTGCTCTGGATACTACAGGTTAGTAATTGGAAGAAAAATCTCAAGTAAACGCTTCATCTTCTTTCAGAGTGCGATCATTTCCCTCTCCAAATAGTATCTCTAATCTGTGTTTGTGAGAAACCTATGAGCCACTAGCTCAATGGCATGGAAGATGCTGGTTTATTACTAAAAACTAAATGAAGTGCCTCTTGCTATGCATGGGTTATCAATATTTACTCTCTTCATCTTCTGTGTTCTCAGGTTGTGTGAGCTTAGTATATCTTTTGGATAGTTGTTCAGATGCCCTGAGAAGTGGCCATCTGTGTTAATTTCACCACCACTCGCTTGTTATTTCCAGTCTTTTGGGACTGCATTCATGTATTTGCTTCAAGTTTGCGATCTGCTTGATCATTTACCATTTTATTTCTGGAAAAAATGGTTTGTTGGGCGTTTATTTCCTCATTGTGTGTTGCAAGTTGGTAGATGGGACATCAGAAAGTTCATCCAACCTATTTTATCTGTTTACATATTTTGCTTATAGGTAGCAACATGTTCAGCTGACTGGCATCAATTGCTAAATTAACCATTGTTTTGTGCGTCGTCTAAGTTGGTTTACTTATAAGTGGATGATGCGTTCATATGCTCATTATACTTGCCTTGTTTGGTATCCACTCACGATTTATCTGCTGCATCTTGTTTGCTGCAGATCTCTCTGCAACTAGCGTCCGGGATTTCCTCATACCAGCCATACAAAACTTGTTGAAAGACTTGGATGCACTTGATCCAGCTCACAAGGAAGCTCTAGAAATTATACTGAAGGAAAGATCGGGTGGAACTTTGGAGGCTATCAGCAAAGTGATGGGTGCTCATCTCGGGCTTCCGACTTCTATGACTAGTTTTTTCGGTGAGGGAGGACTTCTTGGGAAGAAAGAAAGTGCGGAGACGCCAGTAGAACAAGCAGAGTCGCCAAAGGCGGTACCACAGCCTCCGATGGAGGACACACGCTTCAGGCGTATAATGAGAGGAAACTTCACAGACATGCTCCGGGGAAGGGCCAAAAGCCAGGAGGATCAACCTCTATGAAATGGGCAGTTTTGAAATTTTTTCTTTACGTGTAAATGATCTCAATCAATTCTTTTGACTTCGACGAGGTGATATAATATTGAATCAAGAATAGAGAAAAGATGAGAAAGAATAGGTCTTTATTTCCCATTTTCTTTTGGGGGTTTATTTTTCGAATAAAACTTTAGATTTTTGTCTTCTCAGTTCTGTCCTGCCCGTTCATCATTGGCTGCTGTTGTCTTGTACGCGTTTCCAAGTGCTAAGTCGCTGGCAAAAATTGTCAAATTCTCATCTGGTGTCGATGTAAATTTTAAAGTTGATTGTGCATTTGTGTAGCTTTATCCACCACATCGCTCGCAAATGTTGTCACCTCTCCTTTTTCTAGTTGATGTGGTCGTTTCTAAACAATTTTGTTCCTAGAGTGCCAAACTATTTATTATCATAACCTTAGTAACGCGAGGATACCTCCTTACTCCTGTTGATGTCGTGATTATTTACTGATGCAAAGTTACTACTTTAATCAATAAAAAATTGTTGCTTGAAAAATCTTACATTCCAAATAAAATGTTCCTTCTATGAGTACGTTGGGCTGGATTTGCAGATACCATAAGCAACAACAAAAGAAGCGAGTTATTGTAGAAAACCGCATATTAATGGTTGAGGAATGAACTTTTGGGGGTGAATTAGTTGGACTGTACATATTCGGTTATTCACACCATCAAGTGTAAATAGTCGTTACACCATTTAATTGAATTTTGACTTGTGCATTGTATGATTCATGAGGTAAGTAGTGCTATTACATAAAACACGTGATTAGCAATGATCTAATTTGATGTTGCTAATCTAATTTTGGTGTTATTATGGGAATAATGTATTATCATCCAATATTTAAACAATAATATCTACCTAGAATTCTATGCTCGAGAGTTGTTGCTCCCTTTGAAGAATCATCTCAATTGGAGCGCCTTCACCATTAGTGGAAGAGTAAAGCAAGTTGACTTCCGGTCAAGAGCAGATCATAAGAACAATCAAATAGTTCCTCCTTGTGTTTTGATTAAGAGGAAGTTTCGCGGCATGGCGACCGGTTCAACGCATTCAGAACTATTCTGCAATCTATGTGGCTCCCCGAACACTTGCGAGGAACCAAATTGGCACGCCCCCGGTGGGCGACTGCTGTTAAGAATGATTTCCAAGTATTCTGTTGAATTCAAAGGCAACCAAATTCCTATCACGTGGCCGAACATCGAAACTGAATGAACTAATAAAGTCTCTTAATTATCTATTTTCTATTTTCCAACTTTGATGCATCCACATTCTTCTTTGTTATTCTCCTCCCGACGTCCCTGCCCCCTTCAGCAATAATAGTATGAAGGGTGGTTTGCATTTCTCAAATTCTATGTGATAATGATGATGATGATGTTGCCATCAATTAAAAATCTAAGGGCGTTCCATTTCACAGAGGAAATGAAGGGAGGTTTGACGCGACCCACTGAGCGTGGAAAATTGGGTTTTCAGTTCACATTAGACTCGAAGGACCATGCTAATGAGTTTTTTTCTTCTTTTTTTACTTCCGATCACTCCTAATGGAAAATAAACTCCGCCAGCTGTATCAAAAATTAACTAACATTTCTCTAAATAGAACTCAGTTTTACGTGTCAGCACGTCGAAATTAACATAGACGTAATAAAAAATCCATATTCACCATACTCGTATCGATATTGAAAACTTATGTGTAAGATTTGCAAAGTAACAAAAAAAAAGTGATCCTTTGCGCAGTTATTTATATAATGATTCGTCATATACATGATATCATTCCTCACAATTACATCAATAAAGTTTGTCGCGAAAATTTTTCTAGAAACAAAAAGACCGGCAATCTTTGGTCCTCTTTCTTTCCTTCCTTCCCTCCATATATATTATTATTGTGTTTCCCTTGCCCAAAGATGCCCCGAAAAACACGGCGATTATTGGGAACAAATATAAAAACATATCCTTAAAGATTAGGCACCGACGAAAATACAAGTCAAATTTTACAAATGGAGGATGGGACTCGTCAATTCCTTGTCCTAATATGCGTACACAAAAAAAAAAAAAAACGACGCACTACTCATCGCATGCACATATGATAGTAGAACGCAAAACATGTTACATGCATGTATTGAATGTCATTGTTTCTTAAAATATGTGATTAGAAAATTCGGTTCAAAATAATTTTTACGATATTTAATTGAAATGCCATCTCTATAAATCTCCCATCCCTCGCCTTGGCCACACAACATAACACCACCACCAACTTCTCCAGTCTCCTATCGCTCGCTCCCCACTGAAGATCATGGCCAATCCATCCCATCGCTCCCCATCTCCACGCTTGCTTGCGGCGGTTCTCGTAGCAGTACTTGTGCTTCTCTCGGCAGATCGAGTCCATGTAGCAGAAGCGGTGACGTGCGCCGCCACGGAGCTGAGCTCGTGCCTGTCCGCGATCACGTCCTCCGCGGCCCCATCAGCTCTGTGCTGTAGCAAGCTGCGAGAGCAGAGGCCGTGCCTCTGCGGGTACATCAAGGATCCAAATCTCCAACAGTACGTCACCTCTCCCAACGCCAAACGAGTCGCTCGCACCTGCGGCGTCACGTACCCGACATGCTAGTGTCCGGTACCCGGAAGCTCCCATATTCGATGCCGAGAGAATGCGAAAATAAGAACGAGTATGGTACTCTAGTTAAATCATTTGAAATAAAGAAACAAGCAAGATTGCTGGAATAATCATATTGCAATGACATGATGTTGCCGTGACCTATATAGTTGTGCCCTATGAAGTTGAAGAGATGAACTCTTATTTAGTGTTCTACAGTTGCACTTCTCTTGAACTATCATATTCTCTCTCTCTCTCTCTCTCTCTCTCTCTCTCTCTCTCTCTCTCTCTCTCTCTCTCTCTCTCTCTCTCTCTCTCTCTCTCTTTCTCTCTCTCTCTCTGTGTTTGTGTGTGTGTGTTGTAGAAGGATTGAATAGCAATTTGGTAAGGTCTTCTGTGAATGAGTTCAGTATTTGAATGGCTCTTAATTGGACCCAATTCGGGGCCAATTGACATGGACAATTTTGACCTAAGCATATCTCTTCAAGGACTTGCCTATTTTTTTTTTATTTATTTCAATTAGATCAGGCAGTCCGTCCTTAAGGGCAGCGTTCTACAGTGCAATCCAAAATTTTCACGGGACTACAGTTTGTTTATTAAATTATCCTTCAGCAAAAGTCATTTTGTTGATTTAAAGTAACCCCGCCTGAATTTGAAAATCTCACGTGATAATTTATTAAATTATCCAATTAAGTGGATGAGTACTTGGTTTATCTAACGCCTTCTCATCATATGATGATCATTCATATAGTACGAAAAACATAGGACACATGCAAAGTGATTGCTATGAATGGAATTGTCATTGTAGGATTACTTTATGTTCATAGGTCTTCGCGCGTGGCGATCTATCTTCATGCATGACGCCTTCTTATCATATGACTCGCTTGTTATTTTCAATCGTTTGGGATTGCATTCATCTATTTGCCTCGTGTTTGTGATCTGCTTGATGATTTACCATTTTATTCTCTAATAGGGATTTTTCTAATATCCATAATTATATTTCAATCCTCCCCCTCAAGCTGGAGTAACAGGTGTGGCTTTTATTCAAAGTCTGTGACCAAATGCCATGTAAGCCGAACCTTATATTAAACGAGGATTGTTGATATATTAAATCGGATTTGACATGCGCCGACAAAACACATGATCAGAAAGTCGACGTATCTTTTTCATACAACCCTAATAGAACTATGTGGATAACCCAATTTGAATTGGGGCAAACTAAATTGCATTACCCCATGGCGCTCAACTTTGGCTGCTCAATGAAAGTGTACTCTACTCCGGCGCTAAGAGATGCCTGGATATGTGGCACTCGCAATTGAAAGAGGGTCTCGTAATGAATAACGTCCATCGTAGGCATTGTTGAGTGTACAAAATTTGGAAGTTACTAAAAGATGAGGTGATTGCTAATGGCGATGCACGACTCCCTTGACGAAGAGAGGAGGAAAGAGAGAGGTCGAGGATTGCAATAGAGACAATGATTGAGACTAACGGAAAGAAGAAAGATGAAGTTAGGGTTTTGATTTGAGTCCTTTTCTTTTGGTGGCTTCGATACCATGTAAATTTTCTAGGATCTTCAAGAGAAAGGGAGAGATAATCAATGAAGACTACATCTTTGCTCAATTAACTTGACTTTATTTATATCCAAACAATACGTATAGGAAAGTGAATAATCTAATAAGGAAATTGGCTATCTTAGAAAATAATGAAATATAAAATAATATCCCTAATATCTTATAATGTCTCTAACAATATTATCTATTAATTTCCTAACATCCACAAATCTATTTCGACAAGACGCGACACCAGAAAGTTCACCCTGCCTATTTTATCTGTTTACGTATTGCTTATCGGTAGAAACATATTCAGCTGACCAGCATCAATTCTAAAGTAACCGTTATTTTGTGTGTCGTCTGAGTTGGTTCATTTATAAGTGGATGATGCGTTCATATGCTAATTATACTAGGCTTGTTTGGCATCCACTCATGATTTATCTGCTGCATCTTGTTTACTGCAGATCTCTCCACAACTAGCGTTCGGGGTTTCCTCATACCAGCCATACAAAACTTGTTGAAAGACCCGGATGCACTTGATCCAGCTCACAATGGAGCTCTAGAAATTACACAGAACGAAAGATCAGCAAAGTGATGGGTGCTCATCGCGGGCTTCCGTCTTCTATGACTAGTTTTTTCGGTGAGGGAGGACTTCTTGGGAAGAAAGAAAGTGCGGGGACACCAGGAGAACAAGCAGAGTGATGGAGGACACGCGCTTCAGGCGTATAATGAGAGGAAACTTCACGGACATGCTCCGGGGAAGGTAAAAAAGTCAAGAAGATCAACCTCTATGAAATGGTCAGTTTTCAAAATTTTTGAGGTGTAAATGTTTTCAATCAATTCTTTTGACTTCGATGAGGTGGTGCGAAATTCAACCCAGAATCGTGGAAAGATGAGAAAGAACAGGTCTTTGTTTCCCACTTTCTTTTATGGTTGATTGTGCATTTTTGTAGCTTTACCCACCACATCACTCGCAAATGTCAGTTACCTCTCCTTTTCTAGTTGATGTGGTCGTGTCTTAACAATTTTGCTTCTAGAGTACCAAACCATTTATTATCATAACCATATTAACATGAGGACACCTAATTCTTGCGTTGGCGCGATTTATTTAATAATGCAAAGAAACTAATTCTATCAATAAAAAGTTGTTGCTTGAAAACTCTTACATTTCCAAAAAAATGTTTCATCTATAAGTACATTGGGATGAATTTACAGATACCATAACTATGGAAAAGAAAAGGCCTTATCGCTTCTTTATAACGTAAAACCACATGTAAATAGCTGAGGGATGAATGTTAGGCCATTGAATTAGATTTTGACTTGTATACTTAATGATTTATGAGGTTAGCGGGGTTATTTCATAAAAAAAAATGTGATTTGACAGTAATCTAATCTCAATATTATTTATTTGAAATAATTTATTATTTGGACAGTAATATCACCAAAATAATATAAAAATTATTAGTTACCTAAAATTTCTATGCTCGAAAGCTTTTGTTCCCTTTGAAGAATTGTCTTTTTAAAATTAGGGTTAATATTACGAAAAACCCTAAACTGATACACTTGTGATAAATTTACACAAAACTAATTTTTTGATCACCAAAAACCCCAAACTGGTAGACCTGTAACAAATTTACCCAAACTAATTTTTTTACCACAAAAAACCCTAAACTAATACACGGAAAAATTACCAAAAAAGTCCTAAACCTTTTGTAATTGTGCCAATTCAGTCCTAAATCTTTTTTTTTTTTGCCAATTCAATCTTGAACCTTTTACAATTGTGCCAAATCAGTCCATCCGGCCGCTTTTGGCCAGCCGGCACTGACTTGGCAATTTTTAATAATTTTTTTTATTATTTTTCGAATTTTTTTTTAATTTTTTTCTCTTTCTTTTTTTTTTTCCTATCTTCTTCCCCAGCCGCCGGTCCGGCGACCGGCGAGAGGTTGAGGCCGGCAAGGTCGAGCCTCGCCATGGCGGGCGACCGGTGAAGCGCGGGCCGACGTCCGGCGGCGAGGCCGTCTCGCCCGAGTTGGGTGGCCTTCGCCGTCGCCGGGCGAGCTCGACCTCGCCCGCGACGGCGAGGTCGAGCTTGTTGTGCGACGGCGAGGTCTCGCCAGATTTGGGTGGCCTTGCAGAGCCGTCGCCGGCGAGGCCTCGCCTCAGATCCAGCAAGGACGACCTCGCCTCGGCCATGGCGAGTCGTCGTCGGCCTTAGCCTCTTGCCAGTCACCGGTCGTCGAACCGACGACCGGAGAAGAAGATAGGCGAAAAAAAAAAGAAAGAGAAAAAAATAAAAAAAAATCCGAAAAACAATTAAAAAAATTATTTAAAATTGCCACGTCAGTCGGCCGGCGTCCATGTCAGCGCCGGCCGGCCAAAAGTGGCCGGATGGACTGAATTTGCATAATTGCAAAAGGTTTAGGACTGAATTGGCAAAAAAAAAAAAGGTTTAAGACTGAATTGACACAATTACAAAAGGTTTAGGACTTTTTTGGTAATTTTCCCTTAATACACTTATGACAAATTTACTATCCGTTAAATTGAATTAATACCACAAAAAATTATAAATTGATAAACCTAAGACAAGCTGTCGCGACCTCCCTGAATTTAGGTGTCAACATAAATGAAGGATTAAAATCCCAAACTGGTACACTCGTCAACTGTCACGTGTTATCCAACTCAATAATTTGACAGTAAAATTTAACAAGAAACTAACAGAGGTGTACCAGTTTGGGGTTTTTGGTGATAAAAAAATGAGTGCATGATAAATTTTTTTCAGGTGCATCAGTTTGAGAATTTTTGTTATATTAACCGTTAAAATTATGCCTCTTATTGTCTCAAAAATCACTATTACTATGCTTTCAGTTGGAGAGATGTTGCTTTCTCCCTCTGTCTCTCTCTCTACACCTGGCATGCCCAATGTAAGGTCAGGGACTGATAAAGATGCCTAATGACAAAGATGCATACCGATACAAGAGGCTGCAAATGAGTGGGTTAGCACAGCTCTGTATGACTTGGAAGATTGAATCGAGTTGACTCCAAGTCAAGAGTAGAAAACGAAATTTCTGGCGGCATTCGGGAAAATTTCATTAGCTTTATTGAAACCGCCTTCACATTAGCATTCTTGCGTGGAAGAGTAAAAGCAAGTTAGACTTCCAGTCAAGAGCAGATCACAGGAACAAGCCAACAGGTCTTTTCTTGTGTTTTGATTAAGAGGAAGTTTCAAAGAATGCGACGGATTCAACGTGGTCGGAACTATTCTACGGTTCTAGCTCTCCGAATACTTGCGAGGAACGAAATTGGCACGCGCTGGTGGGCGGCTGCTGTTAGAATGATTTCCGAGTATTCTGTGTTGAATTCGAAGACAACCAAGTTCTATCATGTGGCTGAGCATTGAACTCGAATGAAGTTAGTTGATTGCTGCGTTGTTTTGCCTACCATGCATGTCCTAGTCCTCTCTCTCTCTCTCTCCTCTGTCGATATTACCCACCTTGATGCATCCATTTCTTCTTTGTTATCCTCCTCCTGAGGTCCATGCTGTTTCAGGAGTCATCGGATGATGAGTGGTCTTGACAATTCTATGTAATGATGACGATGATAATGTTGCCATCAATTGAATTCTAGTGGCTTTCCATTTCATGGAGTAAAATGAATCCTCTCTCTCTCTCTCTCCTTATCGAAGGGAGGTTTGATGCGACGGTCTCAGTGGGAATGAGTTTTCCCTTTTCTTTAGAATTGAAGTATCATGCTAATATTTTTTTTTTTTGGCTTTTTTCTTCCTGTCACTGATAATTGAAAAATAAGCTCCACGAACTATATCATATGATTGATAAGTGTTCGCACATGAAATCTTTAAAAGTGACTATCGTTCTCTAGATAATTCAGCTTCGCTTGTCTGCACGTTGAGATTATCGCAGATGCAATAAAAATCCCAATTCGCTGGACGCACATTGATATTGAAACTTATGGGTACGATTTACAAGGTAATAAAAAAGAAAGTGACCCTTTTCATTTGTATTATTATTGTGGGTCCCATGCCCGAAGATGCCCCCGGAAAACACGGCGGTTATTAGGCAATAAATAGCCTTAAAGATTAGGCATCGACAGAAATTCAATCCAAACGTTTACAAATGGAGGGTGGTCAATGCCACGTCCTGGAATGCGTAGGCCAAAATTGCAAGAGACCTCAAAACACGTTGCAAGCAATCGATCATGGACTTGAAGTAGGGTTTTTAATATTAGTCTCATTGTTTTCTTAAATTACATGATTAGCCTATTCTATTCAACATAATTTATGCGACATTTAATTCGAGTGCTATCAATCATTAAGATATGTTCCGGTGGCCACCCTTCTTATTTGGTAAAGTGGAGAGTTCGAATTCCCACCTCCTTAAGAAGGTTAGAGGTAGGGACGTGTAGTTTCATACGAGGGTTTTGACTTCCACGTTCTGTAAGAGATAAGGTAAAAGTCTGAGAATGAGTTGAAAATTAGAGTAGGACAGACTTAAAAATAAAAAAAATTCGAGTGCCATCTCTATAAATCTCCTGTCACTCGCCCTCGGCCACACAACATACACCCCCCACCTACCTCTGCATTCTCCTTTCACTTGCTTCCCATTGAAGATCATGGCCAAGCCATCCAATCGCTCCCCATCTCCACGCTTGCTCGTGGCCGCTCTCGTGGGGGTGCTCGTGCTTCTCTCGGTGGATCAAGCCAGAGTGGCGGAAGCGGTGACGTGCAGCGCCACGGAGCTGAGCTCGTGCGTGTCCGCAATCACATCATCTGCACCTCCGTCGGCCCTGTGCTGCAGCAAGCTGCGAGAGCAGAGGCCATGCCTCTGCGGGTACATCAGGAACCCAAACCTCCGGCAGTACGTCACCTCTCCCAATGCCAAGCGGGTCGCTCGCACCTGTGGCGTTCCGTACCCGACGTGCTAGTGTCCGGAACCGGAAAGCTCCAGCTTTCGATGCCGAGAGAAGTCGAAGGTGAGAACGAGTATGGTACTAGTTACTAGTTAAATCCGTTGAAAATAAAGAGACGATGATGATCGCCGGAACAATCATATTGCAAAGAGATGATGTCGCCATATGACCTATATATTTGTACTCTGCGAAATGAAACTCTTTTATAGTGTACTACAATTTGGTGTCCTTTAATATTAGTTTAATTTTACTCTTTACTTTAGGGTCTGGCAGCCCTCCATTTGTATGCTGATATTAGAACTCACGACGAGTTTAATGCCATTGTCGCTTCGGGAAGGTTTGGTATGTGTGACAACAAAAGTTGCTATCACGCCAGGGTTAACTCCATCCCTAAATTGAACCGATTAACATGCTAAAACAGAGTTTATTAATAATAAGGAATCGAGACTAAGTGGGTCTCCCTCAAAATAATGATATGCAAGTTCTCAGCAATTATCTTAAACTATAATAGTTAGCTCTGTTCACCGTATCATCAAGGAAATGACTTGATCTAAATGTTCTCTCTCTCTCTCTCTCTTTATTTTTTGTGTGTGTTGTGGACTGATTGAACAGCAATTTTATTTTTTGGAAAATTGAACGGCAATTTGGTAAGGCCTTCTGCGAATCAGTTCAGTATTTTTTATTTTTTTTTAGTCGAAATGAGTTCACTATTTTAATGGCTCATCAAATGGGCTCTTGATTGGACCCCGTTCTGGGCCAATTGATATGGACATTTTTTAGGAGAACCTTAGGGGATACAAAGCAAACAATTCGCAAATGAAACTAACGTTTCTCTACCCCTATATGTGATTAGTGCTTTCCCAGATTAGAACAATCAGTTAAACTCTCATGCAAGTGGATAATGGAGAATAAGTTAAGAAGAAGACAAACGTGAACGAAACGTTGAAATATATGCGGTGTAGAAGAAACGGTTAGGGTGAAAAAAAAAGTTATTTGGGAGGGCTGTGAGAAGTTTTGTTTTTTAGTAAATAATAAATACCACAAAAAATTCAAAACCGGTACATGTGTAATTTCCCAAATAGATATACCTATGACAACTTTACGCCAAAATAATTTTGGGATCAACAAAAACTCCAAACTGGTATACACTTAACACATTTACCTTCCATTAGTTTCCATCAAATTCTACCGTGAAATTGCCAAACTGGATGACATATGGCAATAATTCAATTGATGTGGCAAGTTAATGTGAAAATCCATCTCTCTCTCTCTCTCTCTCTCTCTCTCTCTCTCTCTCTCTCTCTCTCTCTCTCTCTCTCTCTCTCTCCAATTCAATCAGCCCTAATTTGAACAAATAGGACTCATTCTTTGTCTCCCTTAGAGCACGAAAAACCCTAGATCATTTTCTGATGAACTTCGTTGATAGAGCTAGAAGATGACGCACTTATCTTTGAACCGCCTCCAATTGAAGCCATTGAACATCCTAATTTGGCGATTTGGATGGGTTGGACAAACAAGCCCGGAAAAAAAGATTTTGAGGCAATTAAGCATTGAGAAAATAAACATGCTCGAAAGTTTTGGTTCCCTTTGAAGAATTATCTTTTGAATGATTATGCTTCTTATTGTCTCAAAGATATAATTACCAAACTTTCATTGGCGACCCTCTACACCTGGCATGCCCAATGTAAGTTCCGGGACTAATAATGATATGTAATGAAAAAATATGCATACTGATATCATAGGTTGCCAATAATTGGGTTAGGCTAGGTCTTTTCATGACTTGGAAGATTGAATCGAGTTGACTTTGGAGTCAAGAGTCGAGCCGAAATTGCTGGCTGCATTTGGAAAAATTTCACAAGCGTTGTCTGATCGCCTTCATCATTAGCGTTCTTGAGTGGAAGACTAAAGTAAGTTGACTTCAAGTCCGTGGCAGAAAACGACGTCGTATCATGTCCTAAGAATTGGTCGAGGAAGTTTTCTTTAATCAAGGATGAAGAAAAATACGACATTTCTATATAGGCTTAGATGCAAACGAGTTGATTTCACACGTACATAACATGATACGAGGTCATGCAAAGCGATAATGTGCATCGGAACAAAAGAACTGTTGTTGGAGGAAATCGAAGTCCTGGGAAATATAGTTGATTGGTATAGTAAATCTTATGATAGCATTTCATTGCACTACTAATAACTGTGCACCATCATGGGGAATTGAAATTGTCTTTTATGGACCTTCCTAAGAGTTACCGGAGTCAACTATTTGACCGCAGAACATAAAAAGAAAACATATTACGAGAGAGTCGATACGAAAAGAATCTCGAATTTCTATATAGGAACAACGCAATAACTCTTCTTTTTATTTGATTCAGGGGAAGTTTCACAGGGGATAATTACTAAAAAAAGTCCTAAATTTATTGTACTTGTTCCAATTCAATCATAAACCTTTCAATTTGATCAATTTAGTCTTAAACATTTTTACAATTTGCCAATATAGTTCATTTGGTCCATTTTGGTTGGAAATTATTGACGCAAACAACGGCTATCTTACATGGCACGACCGATACTGATGTGAATAATTTTTTTTATTTTTTAAATATATTTCCAAATTTTTTATTAACTTTTTTTCTTTTACTTTTTTTTTCACTGAGGTCGGCGAGGGAGCGAGGGCCATGAAGCCCTCACCAGCCACTAGCAAGGGTTGTGGCCCTCGTCTGGCCTCGCCCGCACTGCGACCCTCACCGGCTATGGTCAGAGTCATACCACGTAGGACGACCGTCATCCATGTTAGTGATTTCTAACCAAAATTAGCCGAATGGATTATATTGACAGTTTATCAAAAGGTTTAAGACTATATTGGCCAAATTGAAAGATTTATGATTGAATTGACACATGTGCAGTAGGTTTAAGATTGTTTTGGTAATTTTTCTCATGTCTCAGTATGTTATAGACTCAATATATATGGGATTATCTTACGTTTCTGGCTCTCCGAATACTTGCGTTGAACCAAATTGGCATCCCTCGGTGGGCGCGACTGTTGTTAGAATTATTTCTAGGTACTTTTAAAATCCTAAGACAACCAAGTTCTATCGTGCGACAGAGAGCATTGAAATTGAATGAACTAAAGTGGATTGCTACATTCTATGAAGGGTGGTGGTTTGAAAATTCTATGTGATGATGACGATGTTGCCATGGATTGAAACTTAGAGGCATTCCATTTCGTAGAGGAAAATTGGGTTTGCACCGTGCGCGTGGAAAATTTGGGGCGCACTTTTTGTTTGGATTTGAAGTGCCATGGTGATGAGTATTCTCTTTTTTCTTCCGATCAATTATAATAAAAAAAACAAATCTCTACTAGCAATATTAGCTGATTGATTAGTGTGTGCAGCCGGAATGTTTAAAATTGATCATATTCTCTATATAGAATTAAGCTTTACGCGTCGGCATATTGCAATTAATTTAGATGTAATAAAAATCCATATTCACTAGACTCGTGTTATTATCGAAAACTTATGTGTAAGTTTGCAAGGTAAAAGAAAAAGAAAGTGATTCTGTACACAGTTATTTATATCGTGATTCTTCAATATTCATGATATGATTTCTTATAATTACATTAATTGAGCTGCTCACAAATTTTTTTGCGAAAACAAAAAGGCCGACCATCTTTTAGTCTCTTTCTTTCCCTCCACGTCCCATGCACATGGAAGAACATAAAACACGTTGCATGTAGGGTATTAAATATTCGTCTCATTTGTTTCTTAAAACAGGTGATAAGCATATTCTACTCAAAATAGTTTTTGCGATATTTAATTCGAGTGCCATCTCTATAAATCTCCCGTCGCTCGCCTTGGCCACACAACATACACCACCACCACCCACCTCTCCTGTCTGTGTCTACTTGTCACTTGCTTACCCATTGAAGATCATGGCCAAGCCCTCCAATCCCTCCCCATCTCCACGCTTGCTCGTGGCAGCTCTCATAGCAGTGATCGTGCTTCACTCGGTGGATTGAGCCCGTGTAGCGGAAGCGGTGACGTGCAGCCCCTCGCAGCTGAGCTTGTGCGTGCCAGCAATGACGTCATCCGCGCAGCCGTCGGCCCTGTGCTGTAGCAAGATGCGAGAGCAGAGGCCCTGCCTCTGCGGGTACACCAAGAATTCTAGCCTCCGAGAGTATCTCATCTCAAACGACGGCAAACGGGTCATGCGTGTATACGGCGTGTCGTATCCCACGTGTAACTAGTTAAATAAGAAGTCCTAAGCAAGACCTTAAAAGGCTTCATCTCGGACCTCGGAGTCCCCAGGATGTAAAGCAATAAGAGGGTATTCCCTCTTACGTGGGAGGACAAAGATAGGGGGAAATTGGGAGATGTAAGGTGTGCGGATTGCAGCACGTTAAAATAAGGTTTGCATCCGTAGAGCGCGTCATCTCTCTCGAGGATGTGGACAGGCTGTGGAAGCCCTTGCAGGAGCACAAGCTCCCTCTCTTTGGTGAGGCTACACTTAAACCTCACTAAGGATCCAAAGAGTGTGGCGTTCCGTATCTCACAGGTAACTAGTTAAATAAGTTGAAATAAAGAAACAGGCAAGACTGCTATGGAATGTTGCCTATAGTTGTGCTCTATGAAGTTGAAGAGGTGAACTTGTATGTAGTGTTGTGCTATTTGGTGTCTGCAATATTAGTTTTGTTTTTCCTTTTCTGGTAAGCCTTCATATATATATGCTGATATTAGTAATCCACAATGAGTTTAATGCCATTGTCGCTTTGGGAAGGTTTGGTATGTGAGGCAACACAAGTTGCTATAATGCCAGGGGTAACTCCATCCCGTTTACACGTTTTGCACTATTATGATTTTGATCTCTTGACTATAGTTCAACCCATTCCCAAATTGAACCGACTAACATGCTAAACATACACTTTTATCGCAAATAATAAACGATCGAGATTAATGTTCCGTTTGTTTCACAAACAATTTAATAATTTTGGAAAATTATTTTTCAAGAAATTGTTTTTCAGGAAATTGATGATATTTTCTGGTATTTAGCTGGAATCTGAAAATGAACTGAAATTCATTTTCCATTGCTTGGAATTCATAACTTAATATTATTCTCCTAAATATACATGCACTATTTGTTTAATATAATAGATATCCAACCGCTAGGGTCTCGGTTGCACAAGTCGGGGTTTCCCGAGACCAACCACAAGGAACTCGAGCACAGGTACC